CAGGCGCTCTCGTCTGAATGTTGAAATGATGTGTCAAAATGCGTTTTCTAGGCTACAATAATAATAATAAAAAAATGTACAGTACAGGGGCCTGTTTCAGAAAGGAGGTTAACTGAAAACTCAGAGTATTTTAACCCTGAAATGAGAGAAACTCTGGGTTTTCCGTTTCAAAATGGCAGGTTTGTTAAACTCGAGAAAGCAGGGTAATTCAAGCCTGTTTCTGAAAGAGAGGTAACTTTAACTCAGAGTCAGTTACTGTGGTAACTTACTCTGTGAATCTAACCTGGTCAGAAGCAGGTTTTATTCTCTAAACTCAGAGTTTCTGTCGGTCTCCTCCCCTTTTTTTAAAGATGAAGCGGTATTTCTCGCCTTAGCCTTACGTTTCCACCCACCTATTTTTATGCTTATTTTGGATACGTGCATAAAAACGATTGATAGAAACGTCATGATGCACATAACTTTTTAAAATATGTATAAAAAACGCGCATAACTGAGTAGCATAAACTTTTATTCGATCGAAAATGTGCGCATAATCTACGATGGAAACACTTTTACTGAACAAATTACAGTATGTACATTAAAAAAAAGATCATGATCATATGATAATGAAAATGTGTGTAAATGGACAAACAGCAGGCTGAGCACACTGTAACATGTCTTAAATATTGTGTTAGTCATTCTAAAATGCCTTAACTGTTTCAGTATTAGTGTATATTATTAATTACCTCCGAACGTCTAGTGTGTGTCAAGAGTCTCTGCGTCTCATGGCTTCAGACGCCCCCACGTGTTCATTGTGTTTCAGCATTGTCTTCTGACATCGAGGCGCAAGTACATTAATTAGGCTAAATAAAGAATTAATTGACGCAGCTTCTTCTACCACAGTAAATTCTGTTTTTACTGTTGATATTTGGTGCCAGTTTAATCAGGAAGTGACCATTTTTTTCTCTTTGACTCGTTGGATGGAATTTTATTCGCATCTTCTATGCAATATTCCAGTTTTGCACATAAATATATGTAATATATTTGGATGGAAAATAGCTATTGCCTACATTTTTGTCACAGAAGAACTGTACTAGAATGGCTTATCCTTTTTTAATAAATAATTAAATTAAATTCACCTTCGACATGCATGTAACTAGATTAATGGGATTATTATTCTTTCTAAAAATAATTTTTAGTACTGCTTACCTTCTAAATTTTATATTAACCTCTATCACTTGATCAATAAAAAAGGCAGACACAAGTGCACTGTTAAATCATTTAAAACTAATAAATGTATAAAAGAAAGTTTAGAAAAAAAAAATAAACGTCACAAATTTCATTACTTATTTTATTATACTTAAATATTTAAATACTTAAAAAGTTAAATTAGGCATTAACTTGAGCAGCTGTTTTCCCACGCTAACTGTCTCTTCTTCACTGATGGTTGCTTCTTTTCAAATATATACACTCATATTTGCTATAACTTTGCATGAGAACATCAGGTTCAGCCGGAGAAAGAAATGGTGATCTCTTTTATAAGATATTGCCATAGTCACTCGTAATGTCTGCGCTCCATTGATAATGCCTTTTTAAAGTCACGGTGTGCGCGCTTAACTCTGAGTTGGTCTACTCGAAGTTGATTGACCCAACTCAGATCAGCTGTTCTGAAACCGAAAACTCTGAGTTTTTAATCTCTCGGTAAATCAACTCAGAGTTCAAGTTTAAACTCTGAGTTGTTTGAACCTCCTTACTGAAACAGGCCCCAGTGCGTTTAATTTAGGCTATTTATTTATTTTTGTCCTTGTGCGCCAATTGGAGACGGAGTTCACTGCTGATATTCTGAGAGCTTTATAGGGTGCTTCTCATTTCTTATTTGTGTATCCTCGTTTCCTTTCCTTGCTTTCTTTCCTCGTCTTTCCACCCCTATAGGATGCGAGGGAAGGACGCAAGGAAAAGACTCAAGGACCGACCGAGGAATCGAATCAAGTGAAAAGACACGTCCTCGTATTGTTTAGCGTCACTTCAAAGCGTCAATTAATGCTGGATTTGACTTGCACGTTTGGATTAACTGCATGTCATTAAAGTCCTTCTCTTTTTTCTAATAATCAATAAAGAAACATTCATTTAATAATAAAAAGGAATAAGCCATTCTAATAAAGAGCTCAGTCAGCAGATGATGGGCGGGTGCGGTTTTAAAATTTGGTCAAAAATTTTAGTGCGAATGGATGGCGGACGGATGATGAGTTTTGTGATGCGGTTGCGGATGAAATAATAGCCCATCCGCGCATCTCTAATCCTAACTTACATAAAAGAGAAAAAGTATAGTCACATTAACATCCGACTTTTTTTTAATGGTTATGTTTTATACAGTGTATGTAAACTTCTGGTTTTAACTGTATATATAGTATTTATTTCTTTTAAGTTTTCATATGTTTTATCCATTTATACAAAAAAAAAAAAAAAATATATATATATATATATATATATATATATATATATATATATATATATATATATATATATATATATTTATACACACACACACACACACACACACACAGACCAAGATACACTATACACACATTATATAAATACAAACTTTTTATTTTTAATGCGATTAATTTTAACTAATCGTTTGACAGCACTAATTAATAGCTCTGGTAGTTGGTTGTCCAATCCCAGAACACTAAATAGATCAGAAACAGATTTCCTTTAGTGATGTTTGTTGCTATTTTGTGTTTTGAGTGTAAATGAAATCCAAAGGTTTTGTTTTTTAACCCAGAGGGCCTTCTCTTCCTCTTATGTAGCCATAAACATCTGTAACCATTATGTACAAAACTGTCACAGTCAATAATGTTAAGACAACAAAACCAGAGCGTGACAAAAAGCAGAACACATTTGTTTTAGTTTCCTGTTTCCACTCTTTATGTGCTAAATTGGATCCAAGATGCTGCTGAACATTTGTTTTTCTGCAGAAATAGTGTTTTTCTGCAGTTACAGTTTCAGTTTCTGTGCTTTGATTGTGTCAAAACTGTCTAATGGTGTATTTTCTCCCTTGTTTCAGATTGTCGGAGGGGCTGGACAGGCGTCACTTTTGCTTTATATCAAGCGTTATGATGATGCTGACTTTATGTTCAAAGCATTACTAAATACAAAATACATTCTAGTCTATAACAAGAAAAACATGTGTTAATGAGAAGCAGTTTTTCCTTTTTTTTTTTTTTTGTCACAATCTATTTATTCCCCTTTCAAGTATGGAAGTCCTACTCTCAGAAATAAAGGTACACAAGCTGTCACTGGGGTGGTACCTTTTCAAAAGATATACGTTTGTATATGAAAAGTCCATATTATTACCTCAAGGCTACATATTAGTACCTAAAAAGTACAAATATGTTCCTTTTAAAGTTTTTAGGTACTGATATACTTTTGAGGTACTAATATGGACCCTTTAAGTACAAATGTGTACCTTTTGAAAAAGTACCACCCCAGTGACAGCTCGCGTACCTTTATTTCTGAGAGTGTAGGAAAGCCAAAGTGAACTTGATGCATATAATGTAAATGTAAAGGATTATTTATGGTGGCCGAGAGAGCTCAAAGGGCCTGTTGATATATATATATATATATATATATATATATATATATATATATATATATATATAGTTCAATTTTGTGTTCATTGATGCTTACAATGTTCTCGTTTGGCTTCATTACTGTCTACCTTGAAACTCCAATGGACACTAACAGGATTGTAGCAAGCCTTGTGAATGGTGTGGTTCTTTTTTCTTAAAAAGTGGACTATTTTGCAGTTATATGCCTCATTTTCTATTGAACTATGAGGTTTAAATACTGCATTTAGTGACATTTTAAGCATTATTGTTGCTGGAGTAGCTTGCTGGGTGGTCATCATAACCACACTTCATGATGTACCAAAAACATTTTCTAAAGACTTACATCAATTATCATTTACATCATATATACATCAATTAGATCATATCATTATAAAACAAAAAAATAAGAATCTGTTAAAGTTTTAAATTAAAAACTGCCGCCTATTGTCATTTAAATATGATTCATTTAAGCAGTAAAATAACCAGGACATTCAACTTTCCTCAGTGACACTGAAGCGACAACCAACACATGGATTCCGCTTGGTGTTAAAGCCTTTTTCAATAGACTATTTTTAAAATTTATTATAGCAGTCAAAATAAAATAAAAAAACGAGCTCATGTATGGGACAAATTCTGGACCTTTGTCAGTGAGGGGTGGGTCTTTTGAACCACCCGAACCCCTAGCTACAGGCCTGACTAATAAGCCTGCATGGACAAAGATAAGCTCACAGAGCATGGAATGAAGCAGAGGAGGAAAAGAAAGAGGAGAACAGGTGAATCTCATTAAAGGTGAGCGGAACCAGTGTCATCAGAGTGTGTGTAGGTGACATCGGCTCAATCAGTGATAAGATACAGAAAACACACACACACACACACACACACACACACACACACAGTGGATCTTTAGTTATCAAGACATACTGTTTACTGCATCAATATTATGGGTGAGTCCAAGAGCACATCGTCTTTGGTGTGCTTGTGTGTGTACAGACCAAAGAGATATGGATGCATATGAAGACTTTAGTGTGTTGAAAGTCAAATGTATCTAAAACTGTACACACATCACCCCCCAAAACTTTTGTCATTTTTAGTGGCTTTATATATGATTTACAACCTCTAACAATTGTATTTGTAAATGTAAATTGTAATTTTGTAAATTGTAAAATTGTAAATGTTTTGTGTACAAAAATGTAATTTTAAATGTAGAGAAGTATATTTTAAACTTATATTTTGATATATAATATAGTGATAATTAAAGTAATTCTGTTTGATATTCCAATGGCATTCTGATTTTTAGGGTGTCACTGCATGTGCCCACAGTCTTTATTCATTTTTAGCTGTGAATGAATATGAGTGTATATAGAGGTGTGTCTGACCGCTGCAGGTGAACACACACTTTATAAAGGACTGCACACTTTTCTGAGGGCCTTGGACAGACAATATTGCTTTAGTAGTAGGACAAGATATACAGTATTTAAGGTAAGTGCAATAAGTGTCATTATTATTACTTTTTTATCATTTTTTTTTTAATTGTGTTTTACTGTTGAATATATAAAGTTTATATAACAATTTGGATTTTATTTTTAAATTATCTGTTCAAAATAATGTTACAGAGTTAGTTATACTTGCAAATAAACAATGACCCAACCATGCAAAGGGATATAATTTGCACAAAGCAATATAATAATTATTGCATTAGCCTAAATTATTTTTCAAATACAATGCACTTTACTTACATTTCATGTAAAAGGGTCAACACACACAGTATCACCCAAGGCATACAGCTGAGGCATCATTTTTAAGACTTCAACAAGAATCGAAAGCTAAGATTTAGTAGACTGCAGTGTTGCCACATCAAAATATTGTCTGCATTACAGCACTATTCTGTGCTACAAAAAAATTAAAAAACACAGAATTGAAACATCCAAAAAGACTTCACTAGTCTTTATTATAACCTTTGATACTTTCTTGCTGCTATATGGGCAAATGTACACATAAATACATAATTAAAAAAAAATATATATATATAATATATATATATATAATATATATATATATATATATATATATATATATATATATAGGTTAATCAAGATAACTAGGCAGGATAGGGTAATTGGGCAAATTATTATTAACAATGGTTTGTTATACTATCGAAGAAAATATAACCTAATAGGGGCTTATAATTTTGACCTTAAAATTTTTAAACCTGTTTTTTTTCAAGCCGAATTAAAACAAATAAGACATTCTCCAGAAGAAAAAATATTATCAGACATACTGTGCAAATGTCCTTGATCTATTAAACATCATTTGGGAAATATTTCAGACTATATTCTGGATATTCTGAATATATAATATCTACATCTACAGAAGCACTGTAAAATGTTATTTGTACAGTTTCTGATCAAATCACTTTGGAAGGAGTCTAATTTTATTTAACGTATCTTTATTTCTATAGTGCTTTTTGAAATGTAGATTGTCAAAGCAGCTTAAAATGCAGTAGATGAAGTAAAGAGAATTGCATAAAATAGCTTAGATTCATGTGTAATGCTGGGTCACTTACACTAAATCTTATTTTTAACTGAATAAAACAATAAGACATTTACATTCCTTTTTGGACAAAACAATACCACTATTTTAACTTTAGATTAGAGTTTTGTATTTGGTGGAAATAAAACTAATGAAGACATTTGCTATTCTGATCAATAGTCTTTTTCTGGAGGAAAATGTCCTAAAGGGGTATATTTATTTACATTTTTGAAGAAATTTTATCAGACCCTTATAGAATAAAACCAGCGTAAATATTTTTACTCAAACATATACTTAAGAAATCTAGTATATCCAGAGAAAGGGTTAATTTCAAGTGCTTTCTTTATTTTTTCTGTATTCTTGACATTTTGATATATATTTCACAGCTTGTTTAGTTACTATTAAAACATTTAATCATTTTTGTTTGTTTTTTAGGTCCTCTGAATGTAAACATTACCTAACAAAAAAGCAGATTTTCAGGTAAGACATACTGTACAGTCAAGCCTGAAATTATTTATACACCTGGCAAACTCTGACTTTGTTCAAATGTAAATATAAAATATTTTTATCCACAATGATGCCTCTTGTACAATGTCTTGTCATTTTTTTGCAAGAAGCTGGTGTCATTTCTGGTAAAAAAATAAATAAATAAAAAAAAAAAAAACAATATTAATAAATAAAACTTGATGAAATTAATTAAAGTAATTTTAAATCAGAATTTGCCAGGGGTATTAATCATTTAGGGTCTTGACTCTACATTTAAATCCCAAAGACTTACTGTTGACCGAGAATCTAATATGATGTTCTGTGGTTACTTTGACTTGACAGATATAACATGCAGACAAGCTCACTGATAAGTGTCCACATTTGCACTGCTAGTGTTTGGAGGCTAAACATGAGCTTTATTTTATCGGTCATATCTAGACAGCAAACACACACCTACAGAGATCCAGCCATCATGTTTAAGTTGTCTACATCTCTGCTCTGACATTACATCTCACCTCACTGTCTCACTTAAAAGTAGGGCTGCATGGTATTTCAAAAACTGACCTTGTGATATTTTGTTTTTCTTTGATAAATTTTGCAATATGAATACCAGATGACTTGAATAGCTCTCTTTGGAAAGCATTGATCATTTTAGATTGATTGGGTTCATTGTAGGGCAGTGCATTTGCATAAACTATAATAAACAAAATACTCTCAAAGATATGCAAGCAATGTAATAAACAGTAAGTTATGTTTTTTTTTTATGAACTCTTAGAATTATTCAGAAACAAAAAAATTGAGTAATCAAATGTAGAAAAATACACTGTATAAACTTCATTGGTTAATAACTAAATTAACCTTTGATAAACATTGATATTAACATTTGGTGGATTTATGCTGATTTTCAATTACAACTAATTAAAACTTTGTTATTCTGAGCAAGTGTCTTTTTTACTAGTCTAGCATAAAGTAAATTGTGACAATGAAAACAAAGAAAAAAATATGTAACAACCTCCAAATTGTCAATGCTATTGGGTGTTTGTTATGACACTAAATCAGCCAGTAGGTGTTTAAAGTGAGTGAAAAATTGAATCTGTCATTGAAACAATTTATTCAAAATAAATTATTCATTTTGTTTTCATAAATGAATCATTACATTTTTTTTAGTTAAAGAAATTTTCAGAAATTGATGAATAAAACACAAATGTCCTGATCTGGTTTTGTCTGAAACATTTTTTTGGAGGTGCACTAGAAAAAGACTAGTTGTTATGAAAGGCTGAACATGCAAAACAAGGGTCGTTCCAAACGCAGCTTTATTTGAGAATGGTCAGACAGACATGGGTGTAAACGACAATCCAGAAGAGTAATCCAAAAACTATAAGTATAAAACTAAGTATGGCTGACGATGCTTCGACAAAGTGTTGAGATCCAAAAGCACAAGTGTTTCAAAACACTGCACCAAAAAAATGATCCAAAACACCCAGGTCACGTGACTAAAATTCTTCGAAGCACCCAGGTCACATAACTAAAACAATTTGAAGCATTGGACATTTCAGAAGCGTTTCGAGACTTGGCGAATTTACGTTTGATTGACAGGGTTGGGAAAACCCTCTATCTCATGTAGCCAAGAGTAAGTGTGTTGCAAATGTTCTGAGTTCGAATCACAGCTTGCACAAATGCTCAAAGGAATTGGAAAAAATTGTGACTTCATATATTTTAATAAAGTAACTTTTTTATCACCAAAACAAGACTTATTTATTTACTAAGTGTTCATTCGGATGTCAGACCAATGTTAAAACACATTACTATAACAGAGCATTTAAAAACTAACATCTATAGCTGCATCACCCTGGATTCGATCCCATTATCTCTGTATGCTAGTCAGGAACTCTCACTGCTCCACTAAAGGCTGATTTATACTATTGCGTCAAACGCACGCGTATGCTACAGCGTAGCCTATGGGTCAACGCATAGCCCTACGCCATGGCCATTGGGGTCGCTGACGTGCACCTCTCAAAAAATGTAACTACACATTGCTACGATGCGTATCACAAGCTCTGTGATTGGTCGGCTTGGTAGCGCTGACGAGTCTGGGCGGGACCGAGAGCCGTGCTAGTGGCGCGAGCCCGATGGAGTGATTGTTTACAAGTGTGAAGTCCTGTGAAGAAGCTCCGGATGGAAAGTTTTGTTTTGTGTTTAGCTCATAATTAAAGCTGTTGCACGTCCGCCGGTTCTTGCCTCAAAATGAGCGAGTTTGAGCCACTTGTACATCCTGGAAGCGTTCAGAAAGAACAAAACACCAGCGTAGAAACTCGACACAGAGACACATTAACACCTTACTGCCAACTAGCGTTTCGGAAGTGTTAATGCAGACCAACAGATACAGCGCGCAAAAGTATAAATGCACAGCTACGCGCGTTGCATGCGCCATTGGTTACGCCGGTCACCTGACGCAGAAGTATAAACCAGGCTTTAGTCACTAGAAAGTTCAACTCTACAAGGTCGGCTTCATTACCTCAATTTGCTTTACTGTTTCTTTGCTGAAGCTGTTCCAGAGCAATACATAAAAATGACCACTAGGTGACAAGTTTCAAAACATTTAAAGCTTCGAACACATTTGCTTCGACTGTTTCAGTGTTTCATTAAGCCTCGCTCTGCCCACCACTACCAAACACAGGCAAATGGTTGGGACAGGTGGCAAAGAGTCAAAAAACATGAAAAAAAAAGTCCAACACAGAAAACAAGGAACAATGATGACCACTTACATAATGAATGCAAAACAAAACAATACTCAGCAAAGTGTGTGTGAAACTGAAAGATTTAAATAAAGTAGTCCGTCTATAGCCGCTTTTCCACTATCGTGCTGAATCGTTCTTTAAACAGAACTGTTCCATTCCGTGCCAAACCGGGCCAGACAGCACGGTTACGGTTTCATTTTCCACTGTCGTGCTGCGACAAAGCTCTTTAAAACATTACACAAAACGCATCAGTAGTTGCCTTGGTAACGCAATGTAAACGGCTCCCTTTGTTCAATTAAAGTTAAATAAGAGCAGAAACTATTTATTTATTTTTTTCATAAAAGCAAAAGCAACCATGTGACTAAACACTGTTATGCCGCTCTATCATATAGGGGTGCTAAATATAGGTAGGTGCACCCTTATTTATTCAAATGTTGCGCAGCTCTGGCTAAATTTTATTTGGAGGGAAAATTACCAAAATGTAACGTGATGATTGAAAATAACTGGAGGGGAAATAAATAATATTTAAAATCTCTGAACATAACAGAAAAATAAACAATGATAAGACAACAATAATAATGCATTTGCATTATAGTGGCAGAAATATAATTTTGGACAGGCCTTGTCAAAGGTGAGCGGGCACTTTCACTAATAAAAACACAGCACTTAAATTATTTCATTTTAAACAATTATTTAAATTACACTGCGTTTTTATATAAAAAGTTGATAATGATATAAAATATACTACATTTTGATGGTAAAATGAAACCAATTAAGCGATGGCTGTTATTTGTTTTACTATTCAAACATTAAATAACGAATGCAGCAAGTGAAAAAAAAAACAAATATGAAAATATATCGCAGGATTTAAAGCATATAAAGCACTATTATATTTAGCAAAATGATGCTCTATTATCTTTTTATTTTTATCATTTTATTTTTATTATTATAATTATTTTTGTGTTCATAATTAACTAACAAGCTGTAGGCGAATTATTGCTAGACGTTTTAGAAAATATTTGCGTAGCTATATTAAAGATCACCACAAAAAAAAAAAAAAAAAAAAAACACAGAAACATGTTACATGCCTCATAAATGTCATATAACTTATGTATAATTGAATCATATAATTGCCTATAGCTGAAATGATAAAAATTGCTCATTTTATTTTTATAAAACATTTGTGAAAACGTATTGATATTTTTTAAGTAAAAGCAATACTGACATTTAAGAATCCATATTTATTTAATTCATTCATTCTTTTGACTTGTTTATTAGTGCATATGCTATAATATAAATCATACAACAGTACCTTGGACAGTTACAGTGCCGCTCCGTAAAGCTTTCAAGCAAAGTCTTTTGGACGGCCGACATTACAACACGAACATGCCGTCCTTCAGGTGGTCTCGCCGGTATTAACAAGCTGTCCTGGCTTTGAAATAAAAAGTGCAATTATTTCCTCGTTGTTAAAAGAGTCTGCAAGTTCGTGTTCCATGGATATAGTGATGTTGTTGTGGAATTTGGACATCGACGATGCAAAGCGTGACTTTATTCGCTTTATTCGATGCGCAGCAGGAAAAAAAAGTCAGCAGCGCAAGTCGCTTGCATGTCTCTCCCGGATCAGAGCGAGTTTTGTGCTGTGGAATACAGCGCTGCGTGCAATAAACTCACATTCAGGCAAGCGATGTAGGTCTGTATTCAAGTCAATAAAATAATAACTTTAATGAATAAAATATCTTCGTTAGAATGTGATGAGTTATTCACTTCTCTTCCAGAGACTGCTCTATGGTTTTAAAATCCTTTTCAAATATCGTTTAGACCTGGATCATTATTTTATATTAAATGTACTGTAGTTTATTGAGGATGTCTGATGACTAGCGCGCTTCTGCTGAGCCAGCTGTGGTAGCTTAGCAACCGAGTCGCGACGTCAACACACAGAATCTGTCAGCACAGTTCAGCACGGTTGTCTAACCGTGCCGAAAATTCCGGGCCAAGAACGGTTTGTAATCGTGCCGCGCCGTTCCAGGCTCAGTGGAGAAACAACCGTAACCGTACCGAAGTGTTCTTAGAACGGTTTGGCACGATAGTGGAAAAGCAGCTTATGATAAGCTTCCAGCTGTGTGTGTGTGCAGTCAGGGAGAGAACTGGAACTGGTGTATGTGTGAGGTGCACCATGGGATCTGTAGTTCTTGTCAGTGGCAGAATTGTAAGTCTCTAGTGACATGAAATTCAATTCTATTTAAAATATTTCCCAAGTGCTATTTACCAAAAGATGTTTTTCAACACATTTTTAAACATAATATTTTTAACAACACATTTCTAATGAAAATTTTTTGGTTATCATAATTATCAATGTGCCTAATAATTTTATAGTTATTTTGCCAGATAATAGTATTTAGCTTAAAGTTCAGTTTAAATGCTGTTAATTAGGTTAAACAGAGAAACATTGGTTTGGGCTGTAGACAATTAAAAAATAAAATTGTATCAGAGCTAATATTATGAATTAAAAAATATTGCAGAAAATAATGTAAAAATTTCGTAGCTAAACATCACTTGGAGCATATTTTAAAAATAATGAGAGCTCCTATACTTCATCTTAAATATCTTTACTTATGATCAAAAGATGAATGCAGGTTTCATGGTATTAAAATGACATGAGGGTAAGTAATTAATAACATAATTTAAAAATTTGGGTTAACTAACCCTTTGATGTTAGCAGTGAGATATTTTTTTTATTGTGGCATTCTGGTGTTTTGTGTGGCCAGGCTTACATGGAGATGAATGAGTCTGCGAAGAGCCCGAACCAGCAGAGCTACTGGCAGGAGATGGGCAGATGGGCAGGTTATGAAGAGACATATGATGTGGAGGCGGGTCGATGGAGCCCTTCTCACATCTCCTACCTCACCTTTAAGAGCCTTGTGCAGATACGCAGGACAATGAACACCGGTGAGGACACGTTTCAGCCCAGATGCTTCCAATGTACTGGAAAAAAACAAAGGAAAACATATTACATCAGACATTGTCAAAACATTTCACACAATCACTACACTAAAAAATACCTTTCTGCAAACTCAGTCCTGCAATTCCTGTTATAGCTGCAAACTCTTTGCTTCACAGGTACATTGAGTTTTATTAGTCACAACGTCAGACAAATCCATAAACAAATGTGTGTTTATTAAAATGAAAGTACAAAAATCCAAACGGTTCTTATATTCTGCATCCTTATTAACCCTTTAAGTGTGTCTCCTTCAGGGTTTAGATACACAAAGAAAGGTTCCTTTAACTAACAACAGACGGTAAGAAAACGGTTTCTCCAATACCTGCGTTAACACTTCACTGAAATTCTCATGAGAAAACAATGCAAGCATAAAGAAACATTACACAAGCTACACAAAATAAAGCGTAAGTTTGCCAAACATGAATTTGAAACATAAATTTGACAGGAATTATATCTTTAATTATCACATACATAACGTAACATTTCAACAACAAAATAATATGAAGTTATTGATATTAAACAGGCTTCCTCCTGTTAGAAGGGCGAGAGGGGAGTTTGAGCTCAGGTAGGCCTCGAGAACTCCCCTGCTTGTCGCCATGTGAGTAGTGTAAACTAAGGTTGTCTTAGGTGATAATTTGGTTTAGTCGATTTGGCTATGGTTTATGTTTTTGGATGGTGGGAGGAAACCGGGGAACCCGGGGAAAACTCACGCGAACACAGGGAGAACATGTAAACTCCATACACAATCACCTACCAGCCCGATAGGAGGTTGGACCAGCGGTGCTCTTGCTGTGAGGCAACAGTGCTAGCCACTGGGCCACCGTGTCCCCCATCAGAAAAGGGGGAGGAAGTAGGGGTGGAAGGAGGGGAAGCTTCAAGACGAAGATAACTTAAGTGAAAAATTCTGGTTATTTATAATGCTTCCGTAAATTATCTAATAGGGCAGATTACGGAGCTAATGAGGAGCCAGCCGAGTTGATCATAAGCACGTGATCCTCTCAAAATTAGTTTACGAATAAACCACACTAAGTGCATCAGCCTTTCACAGTGTAATACTCAGAGTACTTTTAAATGGGCTCCTTTTTACTCATACTTTGAGTAATATTTACAACAGATACTTTTACTGTACTTGCACTACATTTTGGGAAAGTAATGTATTTTTACTTGAGAATGATTTTTTAGTATTCTTTGCATCACTGCTTGCTTAATAAAAGTATCACTTTTTCATCTATATTTAAACAGCACTGTAAAAAATGCTGTGTTCCACATTTGTGTTGGGACAACATGAAGAAATTAAGTTAACTTATTAGTTTTTACAAATTTAAGTGGCTTGAAAATAAATCAATTAAGTTGTCGCGATAAAAACTCAAGAATTGTGTTGTTTCAGCTCATTTTAAATAAGAAATTTGAACACACAGCATACATAAATTTTTGAGTGAGTGCTATAAGATTACCTCATAATTTTCTCCCGTGCAACCTAATGTAGAAATGTTAATTCAGTCTTTGATAAAACAAAACATAACATTTTAATTGGCTAAATAACAAGTAATTGTTTGTTCCAATGATGTCTACATGACATTTTGATATAAATGAAAGTTATTATTGAGTTATTATTAACAGTCCAATCTTGACATGAGTTATTGAGTTCAGGGTTATATGATTATTAGCCAGTGTGGAATGTGAGCAAGAATGTACCTCAGTGCTGAGGCTCAGATGAGATGGTCACAGCAGATAGTTAAAGTCCTGTAAAACCAGCTCAGCCCGTGCTCCTCATTGAGTCCTGCTGTTTATGTTTACTATAGTAAAGCTCAGCTTCGGTTAAACCCCTCGTCCTCTCCTTTGTCTTCCTCTCTCCTTTGCATTCACTTCCTTTTTTTCATTTTTGTCTTGGATAAGGTGTGATGATGCTGGACAGAGAGGAGAAGACGCTCTCCAGTATTATTGAGAAGATTGTGGATACCCTGGTTAGCAAAAAGGAGATTCAGCCAGGGGACAGGGATAAAGTTCTTCAAGCATTAATGCACAAACAGAGGTACTGCACACATCTTCTGAGAAAAAACAAATGAGAAAGAAAAATTAATGTGGAGTTATTTTACCTTTCGTGAAAGGTTTTGAAAGCATGGCTACTCACACACTCACTAGGAGAGCAATACTCACTAAAGATGTCTCGCTGCAGATGGGGAGCTTATACAGTGCCATGCATAACAAAATGTTTTCTTGCATTGTACTTTAACTAGATAACCACAGTGTCAAGTAGGTGTGAAATGGTCAGATGTTTAATCGATTTTCTGTCATTCACGCGTGTTTACCGATACAAGCAGCTGTTTTACCTCAGCACGTGTTGATAGTGTGTGTGTGTGTGTGCGCGCGGGATGTTATTCGAAACTACTTAATTTTAAACAATGACGTCTACATCAATAAAGTTTTGTGTCGCGATAGCATGTAAAAATGTCAAAACATTGGACGCGTTTTATATAATTTAAACTAACTTTACTGTTTAAATCGACTTGCTGTAGCCTATCTTGTCAGATGCGGGAGGTCGCTGCTTAAAGCATTCAGGAACTCGGTTATATTCTCGAATTTGTATCTTCTTCAGTTAAATTTTTTTTTTAGATCACAAAAAAAGTTTACTTGTGTACACTGCTAATAACGCGCATGCGCATCAAGCAGACTGTCAGCACAAAGTTGTTATTAAACTATTTAAAGTCTTGACACTTCACTAAAATATTTTCTTGAATATGAGTTTTGTATGTCGAAGTGTAAGTACTTTAAATCTCTTAAGCAGCACCATAGTGTTATACAGCCAGCTGCAGTAAGGACACAAATAAATATTATTCATAGAAAAATAATATAATTTAAAAGAGAAAATAGGCCATTGTAGCCTGTTGTTTTCTTTTTGTTGTATCGAAAACAGTCAAAGTCAAGGTATGTACTGTATGTCATTCTTTGAAACATTTTGTAGCTTACCACAACAAACAGTTGCTAAGCTTATAAGTAAAAATAGCATTGGTGAGTAGTAAATGATACAGTGTTACTCGCCAGTCTCTCTTTTTAAATAAATTCTATCCATGTCTGAAAGACACAAATGGTTTAAGATTATCAAATAACAGAGACTGCATGTTATCTGATGCAGCACTGTGATATTTTCGCACAAGCAGCTCATGATAACAGTGTTTTCAGTGTCTCTGGATTTATTTTACTACAAATAAATCCCCCCCAAAAACTTGATAATTGTAGTTAAACCATGGTAAGTACAAATTAACCATGATTATTGCCACACTACCCATAGTTAACAATGGTATTTGTGGTAAAACTATACAGGTCAACAAATTTGCTTTTGTAAAATTATGGTTAACTATTTTGCTACATGTTTACTGTGATAAAAATCATGGTAAAATTGTGTATGTACTATAATTTAAATGGTTTGTAGATCTTTCATCAACAAAAGAGATTTTAAAAAGAAAAAGTTCCCTGTGGCATTCTGGCAAAACAAATGCTCTGTTGTTTAAAGGTTGAAAGAAAAGAAAATTTAATGACTTTTCAAAGTAAAAGGAAAGACAAAGTATGTTTATGATCCTACTTTTATTACAGAATGTAGTGTAGTAATAATAATAGTACATATAAAATGAATGTATTTTGTCAGATTGTTTTGCCTGTTTCTCTGTCTTTCTGTTTTAACGAAATGTTGAAATATAGTTTAATGGGCAGTAATAAACACGTACCGGCCACTTGATTAGGTACAGCTGCTCGTTAATGCAAATTTCTAATCAGCCAATTACATGGCAGCAATTCAAATGCATTAAGACATGTACACATGGTCAAGGGGTAGGGTTTTGAGAATGGTCAGAAAAAGAGAAAATATCCAGTGAACGGCAGTTCTGTGAGCGCAAATGCCTTGTTGATGTCACAAGTTAGAGGAGAATGTCCAGACTGGTTCAAGCTGTTAGAAAGGCAACCGCAACTCAAATAACCACTCGTTACAACCGAGGACTGCAGAAGAGCATCTCTGAACTCACAACACGTCCAACCTTGAGGCGAATGGGCTACAGCAGCAGAAGACCACACCGGGAGCCACTCCTGTCAGCTAAGAACAGGAAACTGAGGCTACAATCCTTGTTGAATCGCTGACACAAAGCATTATGGTAGTTCTTAATGCAAACATGGTCCAACCCGGTACTAGTAAGGTGTACCTAATAAAGTGGCCGGTGACTGTTTGTCCTAATCACACCACCAGTGTCAAATGTAACCGAAGCTTAACTTTCATATGCCAGTTTATTATTTGCAAAAATATACAATTTGTTTAGTCTGATATACTATAATAAGTGTCTTTTACAAGCCCAATTTTTAATTGCATAAAAGGATTGCCATCATGGCAGAGACTATGACTATATTTCTCTCTGTCTCTCTCTCTTTCTCTCTCTTCAGCCAATCAGTGGAGACCCAGCCTCTGACCTCAAATGTGGAAATGGAGAAATTCTCTGTCACAGAGAAAGTGAGCATAAGTTTTCTTCTCGTAAACGTTAATAGCAAAATTAGCCCATGCTCCATATCATTTATGTTCATCATTGTTTTAATGATGTAACGTTTTGACATATTTGTGGTTTTATTCTCAAAGAGGGAGACAGCGGATAAAACAGAGGCCTCGATGGTGCTCGTAGGTGAGAATTAAATTAATTTATGTTTTTAAGAATTTCAAAAGCACAGATTTAAAGATGTAGTTAAATATGTTTATAAAGTGTAACATATGTATTAGTTAGCAGCAAACACGATCTGTAATTTAAGGGTGTTTGTGTTTGTTTAAGGTGCTCTGGAGTTCCTGGAGAGGCCTACAGTAGTATTTGTGCGTCTTCGGGATGCTGTGGTGCTGGAGTCGGCTCTGGAGGCTCCTGTTCCTGTGCGTTTCATCTTCATCCTCATCGGCCCGACCATAGATGGCATGAACTACCACGAGTGTGGTCGAGCGATGGCAGCTCTACTCGCTGACAAAGTAAGAGAATGGACAGAAACAACAAATCTGCGATCAATGCAACTGTTAGATTCAGCTTAAGATTTAGCATAATTTTAATATGGTTTATTTGGTTGTGTGGTGCAGCTGTGGCCTAATGGTTACAGTAAAGGTGCTCAAACACACTTGAACCAATAAATTAGGACCTGAACAGAACTTGATAATTACAGGCAGGTGTGTTGATATAGGTTGCAAATGAAATCTGCCGGAAGGTAGAACTCCTGGAACAGGGTTGGTCACCCGTGGGTTAGAGAGTTGGACTTGTGACTGTTAAATTTTATTTGTATAGCGCTTTCACAGTAGTTATTGTTTCAAAGCAGCTTTAGAAAAGGTACACGTTAACACATTACAATCAAGCTCGAAAAAGTTAAGGTTACCATAGTCACCATAACTTTATTGGTCACTAATAACTTTAACTAATTAACTAGTAACTAATAACTTTTAACAGTTAAAGTTATTATATATAAACATAGTTAACCTGCAGTTATTTAGTATATAGGTGATGTCTGGTTAAATTAAAAATGAAGTGCATTTGTGTACTACTAGCACAAATTTTGAGTATGGGTCACCATACTTAGCCATGTCACAACTTTTCTTTTATTATAACTCATTTAAAAGTGTGTGTTTTATGTTCATATAATATATATTCACAGAGAGTAATTAATAGGCATTATATAAAATGTTTCACAATCACACTGACTTTGTAAAAAGGTTTACAACTGTACTTGTTGTAAGTATTATATGAAATAACTTAATGGCCTCTTAAGTGTGCTTAGAGATTTCCTAATACATGTAAAGATTTTGAGTTTAAAGCAGATTTTAAATCTGTATATATATTTTGTAACTATTTAAGGTATCCAATTATTTAGAATTCTACTGACATCCTTAAGCACATGTGAAGTAATTTTTTCTTCAAACTATAGTGTTATTCAATATTATAATTTAATGTCATTTATTTCAAATGCATTATTACAACGTCTTCATTCTAACTAACATTAACAGAAAAGTTTCAATTGAAACAATATAAAGTATTTGCGTAGACAAAACAATACTAAAATCACAAATAAAGATGTTTAAATTCTTATTTATTAAGTAATTAGTACAAATATATTTTTTATATAATAATAACCTGAGATCTCAAGAAAGCAACTTGAATGCACATCAGAGCAGGTTTTAATACATAGCTCATGCAAGTAGAAGAAAAGACAATGTGAGGCAATATATATACAGTTGCAATCAGAATTATTAAAGCCCCTTTTAATTTTTTTCTTTTTAAAAAAATTCCCAAATGATGTTTAACAGAGCAAAGAAATTTTCACAGTATGTCTGATAATATTTTTTATTCTGGAGAAAGCTATATCGATATTCTACAGTACAAACCATCGTTATACAATGAATTGCCAAATTACCCTAACCTGCCTAGTTAACCTGATTAGCCTAGTTAAGCCTTTAAAAGTCACTTTAAGCTGTATAGAAGTGTCATGAAAAATATCTAGTCAAATATTATGTACTGTCATCATTTATTCATTCATTCATCTTCTGCCGCTTTTCCGGGGCTGGGTCGCGGGCGCAGCAGTCTTAGAAGAGAACCCCAGACTTCCCTATCCCCAGACACTTCCTCCAGCTCCTCCGGGGGGATCCCGAGGCGTTCCCAGGCCACCCGAGAAACATAGTCCCTCCAGCATGTCATAGGTCTTCCCCGAGGCTGCCTCCCGGTGGGACATGCCTGGAACAGTTCCCTAGGTAGGCGTCCAGGAGGCATCCAAAACAGATGCTCAAGCCACCTCAGCTGACTTCTCTCGATGTGAAGGAGCAGCGACTCTACTCCGAGCTCCTCCCGGGTGACAGAGCTCCTCACCCTATCCATAAGAGTGCGCCCTACCACCCTTCGAAGGAAACTCATTTCGGCCGCTTGTATGCGAGATCTTGTACTTTCGGTCATAATCCAAAACTCATGACTATAGGTGAGAGTAGGAACGTAGATTGACCGGTAAATCGAGAGCTTTGCCTTTCGGCTCAGCTCCTTCTTCACCACAACGGACCAGTACATCTACCGCATTACTGCTGCCGCTGCACCAATCCGCCTGTCAATCTCTCGTTCCATCCTTCCCTTACTCGTGAACAAAACACCGAGATACTTAAACTCCTCCACCTGGGGTAAGGACTTTCCTCCAACCTGGAGATGGCAAACCACCTTTTTCCGGTGGAGCACCATGGCCTCGGACTTGGAGGTGCAGATTCTCATCCCAGTCGCGTCACACTCGGCAGCAAACCGCCCCAGTGCATGCTGAAGGTCCATGTCTGATGAAGCCAACAGAACAACATCATCTGCGAATAATAGAGATGAAATTCTGTGTTCCCCAAACCGGACCCCCTTCAGCCCAAGGCTGCGCCTTGAAATTCTGTCTATAAAAATTATTAATAGGATTGGTGACAAGGGGCAGCCCTGCCGGAGTCCAACATGCACTGGAAACAAATCTGACTTATTGCCGGCAATGCGAACCAGACTCCTACTCTGTTCATACAGGGATGAGACGGCCCTCAACCCTGTCATCATGACAAACATAAAATAAATCAGTTATTAGAAATGAGTCTCTAAAACTATTATGTTCAGAAATGTGTTGAAAAAAATCTTCTCTATGTTAAACAGAAATTAGGGGAAAAAATAAACAGCGGGGTTAATAATTCAGGGGAGTTAATCATTCTGATTGTGACTGTATATATTTTTTCTAAGCTGTTACTCTCTTTTTGTTCTGCACCTGTCTTTCACACACAGGTATTTAACCAAGCAGCTTTCCAGGCTCAGAGTGACCGAGAGCTCACAGATGCAGTGGGAGACTTTATGGACTGCTGCATCGTGATTCCACCCACTGAGATTCAGAATGAGTCTTTGCTAACATCACTCATCCCCTTCCAGAAGAAACTGCTGCAAGAGAGACTCCGGCCCTCCAATCCTAAACTTCGCCTGGATGTCAAACCTCGCAAGCGTAAGGACCCAATCACTCAGTCACACACATGATGTTACTGTACAGGTGCTGGTCATATAATAAGAATACCTTGAAAAGTCGATTTATTATCACAAATTCCATTCAAGATGTGAAACTTGTAGGCTGGCTGTTCCCAGAGCTAAAATATATGGTAAAAATGTAATAGGACAAATGCAACCTGGAGAGAATTGTGAAACAAATTCAATTTAAAAATGTGGAGGAGATTTACAAAGAGTGGACTGCAGCTGGAGTCAGTGCTTCAAGAATCACTATACACAGATGTTTGCAAGACATGGGTTTCAGCTCATGCATTCTTTATGTCAAGCTAATCCTGAACAGCAGACAGCGTCAGAAGTGTCTCACCTGGGCTAAAGACTGGACTGCCGCTGAGTGCTCCATGTTCTCTGATGAAAGGACATTTTGCATTTTCTTCGGAAATCAGGGTACCACAATCTGGAGGAAGAAAGAAGAGGCACACAATCCACGTTGCTTTAGGTTTAGTGTACAGTTTCCACAGTCAGTGATGGTTTGGATTGCCATGTCATCTATCGGTGTTGCTCCACTGTGTTTTCTGAGGTCCAGGTCAATGCAGCTTTATACCAGAATATTTAAGAGTCCTTCATGCTTCCTGCTACTGACCAACTTTATAGAGGTGATTTTATTTTCCAACAGGACGTAACCTGAACGCAGTGCCAAAGCTATAAGTGCCTGGTTTAAGGACCATGGTATCCCTGTTGTTAATTGGCCAGCAAACTCGCTTGACCCAGAAGATGCGATATGCCAGACCCATGCCAGATGTGATATGCCAGAGGAGGTGAAGGCCACTATCAAACCTGAGCTCTCATAACTGGGCTCTCTGATCCACTCCATGATCCACGTCGTATTATTGAAGTAATTCAGGCAAAAGGAGCCCCAACTAAGTATCAAGAGCTGTGCATACTCATCCTTTTCATGTTCATATTTTTAGTTGGCCAAGATTTATATATATATACTCTGGCCCAGCACGTAAACTGTGGCCCTTTGGCCTATTATGTTTCTCCCATGGCGAAGCTTTTTCGCCAAATTGAAGGCAGCCTCATCAACATAGATAATTTCATGTGGGACTTGATTGGGCTCCAACTCCACGACTCTCTGAAAGTAATTAGACACAGTGTATGTAAATGCTGTACTGTACTGTATATCTACTGTATGTACTAATGAACTTCAGCTTTATAGAGTAGTTTACTGCAAAACACACTGTGTATACGACAGTAATGTCTGAATTGCATAACCTTACCTAGACGTATTGGTGACGGAGTTCTTTGATTCGCTCACTGTTCCTTTCAAAAACCTCAAGAGTCCTCTTTTAGAACATATGATCATGAGTGTGGTTTCTAGATGGGAAAAAGGGTGGCATGTTGGATCAGTTGTTAGAATTATATATATATATATATATATAAAATATATATTTGGGTGTTGTCGCCGCGCGCGTACTGAATAGCGGTGTTGTCGCGCGAGTTCTTATCAGCTGTGTTGTCGCGCGCGTACTGAATAGCGGTATTGTCGCGCGAGTTCTTATCAGCTGTGTTGTCGCGCGAGTTCTTATCAGCTGTGTTGTCGCGCGCGTACTGAATAGCGGTGTTGTCAGCACACTGTTCAGATTGATGCAGACATGAGACCTCTATCTTACTCATGGTTTGTCCTCTCAAGTGGGGGAAAGACAATGCACAACGTTACCCACTGCTGTCAACCTGGGCCAAGTCATATCTCTCTTGTCCCAGAAACCTCAGTCCCAAATGAGAGGGGTTTTTTTCTGTTGCAGGGGACATTGTAAATGCCCAGAGATACCAGCTTTTACCAGATTATATTTATATGATAATTTTCCTTTAAACCCATCTCTATCTAAGTGAGTGAGTGATTAAATGTTGAATGTGATGAGTTTTCAACAATACTAAATTGAAACTTTATTTTTTTTACATGGTTTAATATTTTTTTGTTATTAAAATTGAAGTTCCTGTTTCAAAGCTTACAGATAGATGGCTAATTTGTATGTCATTGACACTTTTGGCACTTTTTTGGGAGTATTTTCATAAGTTTTGTTTTTTCCTGTAAATGATTCAATAAATACCGTACCGTGACATTCATACCAAGGTATTACCGTACCGTGAAATTCTGATACCGTTACATCCCTAATATATATATATACTGATCCAACATGCCACACATAGTATGACACAGAAAAAATACTTGGTGAAGACAAAAGCTAAGCAGCACATAGATCTAATGCTAATCTATCTTCTCATAGCTTCAAAATCTTCAGGACCTCCTCCGGAAGACCCACTAACACGTACTGGTGTCCCGTTCGGTGGGATGATCAGAGACATGAAAAGACGATACAAACACTACATCAGCGACCTCACTGATGCTCTGAACGCTCAGGTTCTTGCTGCCATCATCTTCATTTACTTTGCTGCACTCTCACCTGCCATCACCTTCGGAGGTCTGCTCGGTATGTTTAGCCTGGTCAAGGCTTCATTCACAAACACCAAACAAGTGCTTTCCAAATTCTCTGAAAGCTCACAGAGTCATAACAAGTGAATGTATTAAAATCTTTGTTTAGGTAGTTGTCATTGTGGAAATGTAAATATTTAATGAAGCTGTGTGTTAGAGTCTTCTAAAGCATACAAATACTGTAATATGTTTGCAGATATTTAAGAAAGATGCTAAGTGAACATAATCTGAAAAACAATGCTGAAGTCCGATATTCTGCTTTGAAAATGTGCATTACATGCCAGAACATTTGTCTTTGTTTTGGTCATTTAACCAATGCCAATTATATTTCAGCACCCTGGGTTGCCTTGTTGGAAAACAGTGTAATTCATTATTCCTTCAGTCAGGAAGGCTCCCAAAGTATTCGTCCCAAACCGAAATGCGACCTCTTATGGACAGTAGCAGACTCTGAAATGAGATACACATAAGGTGGCTATTAGTTAGCAAATAATATACATATTATGAACGTAAACATTAGGCGAGCAGGTTACATTGTAACCCCGTGTCCTAACAACACGCTACATGATTATGAGATTTGCAGTGACGAGCGATTTGGCTGTTTGCACCAGACGAAACATGACAGAAATTTAAATACAGCTATTCAGAAGCATAGAATAGTGCACTCACTGCACTCCAACAAATGGTCATGTTTATAACCTAATTAATACATATTAAAGCTTTTTAACACTATTAAATGTTCAAACTGAATCACTGATCTGTCTAGGTTTGCACTGAGTTACAATTCTACAGCTCAATTTCAAATGATTTATTTTATTTTCAAGATCTGAGGTGAACTATCTGCTGCTGCTTTCAGTTGAATGGCAATAAATGTCATATAAAATGGCATTCAAACTCACATTATAAGCGTTTAGCACTGAATAAAGCACATGAGGTATAGCTGAGTTAATCATGGTCAGTTTTCTGTTGTTCAGCTGCAAGAAATAAAAGCCGTTTCTTAACTATAAATTTCAGGTATTGGTTAGAACAAAGACTCATTTTAATATGGAAATTATTCCTTCTGTAGTGCACCATTGCTTTTATTTTTAGAACATGACTTAAATTAGATTTAGGCTGCATTTACACTGCAGATCTTGATGGTCAATTCCTGATTTTGTGGCTGTATCTGATTTTTTTGATGACCTGCTTACATCATCTTTTAAAAGTGACTCGTATCCGATCGTCTGTATTTACACAGCACACAGCAAAGGCGCAATGACCAGAAAAAAAAGAGCGGGTGCTGACTAACAGCTGATAATTAAAGAGTGCTCTTTTCTCTATTCCTGTATGTAATCTGTTCGCAGCTTTTGACAAGCTGTTTTACTATAGTTTATGACAGAAAGGTTCTCATTTGTCTATCTTGTTTTGATATATAGGCTTTTTTAAACCTTTAGGCATCTTAATGTAATGTCCATGGTGTGATTTATGCACGTGATGTAGCTATGCACTAGTTTTATATTAGTTTATACTGGTTACATGGTGGACATTTCGCTCTCTCTCTCCTCTCTCTCTCTCTCTCTCTCTCGTTAACATGCTTAAATATCTGTGCTATATGACAATATAAAAGCTGTTTAAGTCCTCGTGTGTGAGATTTAAGGTTTGGGACTCTGCTAAAGTCTGTTCTGAAATGAAAGTGTCAGACTTGACATCATTCGCTATGGTTTTTAATGATGCGCGACTCTCATTGACAGGTAAAAATCCGATCTACCTGCTTACACTGCAGACACGAGAACACAGATCCGATTCATATCACATATAAACAAGGCCTGAATCTGATTTGAGTAAATCGGAATCCATGTGATTTGTTCCTGCTTACATGTACATGGGCGGAATTAAGTGACTTAAACCATGCAATGTAAATGCGACCTTAAATTAGCATTTAGGCACTAAGGCAGTCAGGCACACTGCTGTTGGTATCATCAATCTGGCAACCTGCATGTGTGTTTTGAACTAAGCGTGCAATACCTAGTTCAACCACTGGGTGTCAAACTTGCATACTTCACATTTAATATATGAGTGTGTTTGAATTTTAAACACTGTAATAAAAACTACATTATATTTTGATTTAGTACATTTGAAAATTAAACAGCATATATATTTTTTTATTTTCTTATGTAAAATGCTAAAATTCTAAAACTAAGAAACCCAGTAGCTTGTATGATTAGGCTGGCTTGTGTAGCAAGCCAGACTACTGTTATCCTATTAAACTTAATATTATTAGGCTGGCTTGTGTAGCAAGCCAGACTACTGTTATCCTATTAAACTTATTATTATTTTTATTATTAATATTATTATTCTTCTTCTGAGACTAAAAATTAAACTCTATCTCCACCTAGACCTTTCAAGCTATGACCATCAAACTCGGGTCAGACCTCCGAACTATTCTGACTCGAGTTGCTATATCCTTTCCGACTGATCCGACTTTCGGTTTCCCGAAAAACGTCCCGGGACCGTCGGAAAAATCCCATAGACGTAACATTGGGTCAAACTTTGTGACCTCATAACTCCGCATCAGAATGTCACACAGACTTCTAACTGGGCTCATTTAACTCAGACTATCAAACTGCCAATGACTGATCACCTTTAAACTTTCTGGCCACGCCCTAGCAACCACTTTTGGACCCTAGAAACCGTCCCATAGACTTCCATTGCAAAAGACTCTCATTGACTTTACATTGGATCAAACTTTGTGAGCTCATAACTCTGCATCAGACTGTCCTACAGACTAATGATTGAGCTCATTTAACTCAGTCTAGCCAGCAGCCAATCACTGATGGCCTTTTAACTTTCTAGCCACGCCCTAACAACCAGATATTGCACCCTAGCAACTGTCCCATAGACTGCCATTAAAGAGGTTCAGACTGATATTGTCATGCTGCATTATGATAGAGACATGGGGGTTGTTTTTAACTGTTCATACTGGCAAGAAGCTTTGATACATCATCAGTCTAAGCTGTCAATCAACTCCATAGCAACAAAACAGACTAACCTAGCAACGATATAACACTAGCTATATCTCAGCATCAAAACAACGTAGAGAAGCGGGGGTTGGCTTGTTTAACTCATGCTTACACCATCTATCTATCTATCTATCTATCTATCTATCTATCTATCTATCTATCTATCTATCTATCTATCTATCTATCTATCTATCTACCTCTATCTATCTATCTATCTATCTATCTTTCTATCTATCTACCTCTATCTATCTGTCTATCTATCTATCTATCTATCTATCTATTTATCTATCTATCTATCTACCTCTATCTATCTATCTATCTATCTATCTATCTATCTATCTATCTATCTATCTATCTATGTCTATCTATCTATCTATCTATCTATCTATCTATCTATCTATCTATCTATCTATCTATCTATCTATCTACCTCTATCTATCTGTCTATCTGTCTATGTATCTATCTATCTATCTATCTATCTATCTATCTATCTATCTATCTATCTATCTATCTATCTATCTATCTATCTATCATCTATCTATCTATCTATCTATCTATCATCTATCTATCTATCTATCTATCTATCTATCTATCTATCTATCTATCTATCTATCTATCTATCATCTATCCATCCATCTATCCATCATGTTAACAATTTGCTAATTCATGCTAGAAACATGCTAGTTACATGCTAATTCACACTAGAATCATGCTAGTCACATGCTAATTCATGCCAGAATCATGCTAGTCACATGCTAATTTATACTAGAATCATGCTAACAACATGCTAATTCATACTAGAATCATGCTAGTCACATGCTAATTCATGCTAGAATCATGCTAACAACATGCTAATTCATGCTAGAATCATGCTAGTAACATGCTAATTCATGTTAGAATCATGCTAACAACATGCTAATTCATGCTAGAATCATGCTAGTAACATGCCAATTCATGCTAAAATCATGCTAACAACATGCTAATTCATGCTAGAATCATGCTAGTAACATGCTAATTCATGCTAGAATCATGCTAGTAACATGCTAATTTATAATAGAATCATGCTAGTAACATGCTAATTCATGCTAGAATCATGCTAACAACATGCTAATTCATGCTAGAATCGTGCTAGTAACATGCTAATTCATGCTAGAATCGTGCTAGTAACATGCTAATTCATGCTAGAAACATGCTAGTAACATGCTAAATCATGCTAGAATCATGCTAACAACATGCTAATTTATGCTAGAATCATGCTAGTAACATGCTAAATCATGCTAGAATCTTGCTAGTAACATGCTAATTCATGCTAGAATCATGCTAGTAAAATGCTAATTCATGCTAGAATCGTGCTAACAACATGCTAATTCATGCTAGAATCGTGCTAACAACATGCTAATTCATGCTAGAATCGTGCTAGTAACATGCTAATTCATGCTAGAATCGTGCTAACAACATGCTAATTCATGCTAGAATCATGCTAGTAACATGCTAATTCATGCTAGAATCGTGCTAGTAACATGCTAATTCATGCTAGAATCGTGCTAACAACATGCTAATTCATGCTAGAAACATGCTAATTCATGCTAGAATTATGCTAACAACATGCTAATTCATGCTAGAATCATGCTAGTAACATGCTAATTCATGCTAGAATCGTGCTAACAACATGCTAAATCATGCTAGAATCATGCTAACAACATGCTAACTCATGCTATAATCATGCTAGTAACATGCTAATTCATGCTAAAATCATGCTAACAACATGCTAATTCATGCTAAAATCATGGTAGTAACATGTTAATTCATGCTAGAATCATGCTAATAACATGCTATTTCACACTAGAATCATGCTAATAACATGCTAATCTATCTATCTATCTATCTATCTATCTATCTATCTATCTATCTATCTATCTATCTATCTATCTATCTATCTATCTATCTATCTATCTTTTCTTACTTTTTAAAACTGTTTAAACTAAATAAACTATTACCGTCAGGCTTTCACAAGCCAGCCTCAAAGTTTGTTCTCAAACTTTAAGAATCTAGTTATTATTCTTCTTCTGAGACTAAAAATTAAACTGTATCTCGTCCTAGGCCTTTCAAGCTATGACCATCAAACTCGAGTCAGACCTCTGACCTATTCTGACTCGAGTTGCTATATCTTTTCCGACTGATCCGACTTTCGGTTTTCCGAAAAACGTCCCGGGACCGTCGGAAAAATCCCATAGACGTAACATTGGATCAAACTTAATGACCTCATAACTCCGCATCAGAATGTCACACAGACTTCTAACTGGGCTCATTTAACTCAGACTATCAAACTGCCAATGACTGATCACCTTTAAACTTTCTGGCCACGCCCTAGCAACCACTTTTGGACCCTAGAAACCGTCCCATAGACTTCCATTGCAAAAAACTCTCATTGACTTTACATTGGATCAAACTTTGTGAGGTCATAACTCTGCATCAGACTATCCTACAGACTAATGGCTGAGCTCATTTAACTCAGTCAAGCCAGCAGCCAATCACTGATGGCCTTTTAACTTTCTAGCCACACCCTAACAACCAGATACTGCACCCTAGCAACTGTCCCATAGACTGCCATTAAAGAGGTTCAGACTGATATTGTCATGCTGCAGTGTGATAGAGACATGGGGGTTGTTTTTAACTGTTCATACTGTCAAGCAGCTTTGATACATCATCGGTCTAAGCTGTCAATCAACTCCATAGCAACAAAACAAACTAACCTAGCAACGATATAGCACCAGCTATATCTCAGCATCAGAACATCGTAGAGAAGCGGGGGTTGGTTTGTTTGATCTATCTATCTATCTATCTATCTATCTATCTATCTATCTATCTATCTATCTATCTATCTATCTATCTATCTATCTATCCATCTATCTATCTATCTATCTATCTACCTGTATCTATCTATCGATCTATCGATCTATCTACCTCTATCTATCTATCTATCTATCTATCTATCTATCTATCTATCTATCTACCTGTATCTATCTATCGATCTATCGATCTATCTACCTCTATCTATCTATCTATCTATCTATCTATCTATCTATCTATCTATCGATCTATCAATCTATCTACCTCTATCTATCTATCTACCTCTATCTATCTATCTATCTATCTATCTATCTATCTATCTATCGATCTATCGATCTATCTACCTCTATCTATCTATCTATCTATCTATCTATCTATCTATCTATCTATCTATCTATCTATCTATCTATCTATCTATCCATCATGCTAACAGCATGCTAATTCATGCTAGAATCATGCTAGTTACATGCTAATTTATGCTAGAATCATGCTAGTCACATGCTAATTCATGCTAGAATCATGCTAACAACATGCTAATTCCTGCTAGAATCATGCTAATTCATGCTAAAATCATGCTAGTAACATGCTGATGCTAGTAACATGCTAATTCATGCTAACAACATGTTAAATCATGCTAGTAACATGCTAATTCATGCTAGAATCATGCTAGTCACATGCTAATTCATGCTAGAATCGTGCTAGTAACATGCTAATTCATGCTAGAATCATGCTAATTCATGCTAAATTCATGCTAGTAACATGCTGATGCTAGTAACATGCTAATTCATGCTAACAACATGTTAAATCATGCTAGAATCATGCTAGTAACATGCTAATTCATGCTAGAATCATGCTAGTCACATGCTAATTCATGCTAGAATCGTGCTAGTAACATGCTAAATCATGCTAGAATCATGCTAACAACATGCTAATTCATGCTAATTAATGCTAAAATTATGCGTGTAACATGCTAATTCATGCTAGAATCGTGCTAGAATCGTTCTTACAACATGCTAATTCATGCTAGAATCATGCTAGTAACATGCTAAATCATGCTAGAATCATGCTAGTTACATGCTAATTCATGCTAGAATCATGCTAGTAACATGCTAAATCATGCTAGAATCATGCTAACAACATGCTAATTCATGCTAGAATCATGCTAGTAACATGCTAAATCATGCTAGAATCATGCTAACAACATGCTAATTCATGCTAATTAATGCTAAAATTATGCGTGTAACATGCTAATTCATGCTAGAATCGTGCTGGAATCGTTCTAACAACATGCTAATTCATGCTAGAATCGTGCTAACAACATGCTAGAATCGTGCTAACAACATGCTAATTCATGCTAGAATTGTGCTAGTAACATACTAATTCATGCTAGAATTGTGCTAGTAACATGCTAATTCATGCTAGAATCGTGCTAGTAACATGCTAATTCATGCTAGAAACGTGCTAGTAACATGCTAATTCATGCTAGAATTATGCTAGCAACATGCTAATTCAAGCTAGAATCATGCTAACAACATGCTAAATCATGCTAAAATCATGCTAACAACATGCTAATTCCCGCTAGAATCATGCTAACAACATGCTAATTCACGTTAGAATCATGCTAATACCATGCTAATATATCTATCTATCTATCTATCTATCTATCTATCTATCTATCTATCTATCTATCTATCTATCTATCTATCTATCTATCTATCAAGCTATCTATCTAGCTATATATCTATCTTTTCATACTTTTAAAAACTGTTTAAACTAAATAAACTATTACCGTCAGGCTTTCACAAGCCAGCCTCAAAGTTTGTTCTCAAACTTTAAGAATCTAGTTGTCCATTACTGTTGTAAAAGAAAGGTAAATGTTTAGTTTCATACATCTTACCTCAATATTTCAGTGTTAAAATTCACTTTCGGTATATGTGAATATTAATTATATTGCCTTCAAATGATTAATAAACAAAAAACTAATTCTAAAATTCAGAAGTTTAGGCTAAACTGCAACAAAATTAAAGCATCATTATTTTGAAGCTGCAATTTTACCCAATAATACCCAATATGCAGTAGTTAGATAAAAAACAGCAGTTTTTTAAGAAAAACCTGGTTTTGTTACCCATATGGAAATAATATTTACACTTTACAAATTCGATGATATATAATGTGGCAGAAATAAAGTTTTTATTTGACTCTTAGGTGATTAGCTGCAGATTTTCAGCCCATCATTGAGTCTATTTATTTAGTTGAGTGTAAATGTGTGCAATTTATATTTATTCAGCTTTTAAATTAATTTCAGTAATATTACTCACTAATATGAAAACGTTTATATACGATATATTGTAGATGTATTATATGAGAGACTTGCTTTGCTTACCAAATGAATGGATAAGGATTTGCATTGTAAACATTAAATAAAAGTAAAAAATTTGTTATTATTTATTTAACATAATAAGTTTTTAGTTACGATACACCCAAAAGTATTCCGAGTGAATCTGCAGATTTTTTTAAATAATTAGCAGAAATATAGCTAAAAATATCCACAGATTTTGTTTGGCCCTACTGAATTGTTACAGCAAAATGAACTTGAAACTGGAAAATCAGCAAAACTCATCTTATAAACTTTAGTTTAGCTCTTACTTTTCTCATAGCTGATAAGGTGGATAACATGATGGGAGTGTCGGAGCTGATGATCTCCACTTCACTTCTGGGCATTATCTTCTGTCTGATCGCTGCTCAACCTGTACTAGTTATCGGCTTTTCTGGGCCACTGCTGGTGTTTGAAGAGGCCTTTTTTAATGTGAGTATGTCTCTCTCTTTCTGACATGCGTACAGTGTCATTGCTGTTTACCGCACACACTATGCAAAAACCATGCTTTTCCTTGCTCTAGTTCTGTAAGTCTCAGGGCATTGAGTACATCGTAGGCCGAGTGTGGGTGGGCATTTGGCTGGTGGTCATCGTGGTGGGGATTGTTGCATTAGAAGGAAGCTTCCTGGTTCGCTTCATCTCCCGCTTCACTCAAGAGATCTTCTCCATCCTCATCTCCCTCATCTTCATCTATGAGACATTTGCCAAACTTTTAAAGGTACATGCTTTATTTGATTTGTTTAATTTATTTAGCAGTTTCAGCAAACGTCTCTTTATTTTTATCAGTCATCCTTGTGTTGATTTTATACATGGTCTGGTGCATGATAAAAGTTCATTGAATTTGAAAGCTGCCATAGAATGAAAACCTGAATATACCTATGGAGATGACAAATAAGGTTTCAGTAAAAGGCAATCACATATTCTGTATCTCAAGCACTATTATATTCTTGTTCTCATATAAATACAGTGAGTGTAAAATCCTGGTGGAAGACAGGCCAGTCTGAACAAAACACAGACTCTAACGATCCATGCGGCATCATTAATATGCATGCCCCAGACTGCATTTGATTGGCTAAATCATTTGTTGTGAGAGTGGTATTGCAATAATGCAAATTTTTGATAATTTTTGACAAATATTTTAGGTTTGTTCAAGCTTGTATTAAACATACTATGTATGTGGAACTCTTATTTTGAAAGTGAAGAGGCAGGGAGACTAAAAAGGAGCAGTTTTGTGAAGCAGGTAGACATGAGGGTTCGCAGTTCATCAAAATGCGGTATATACGGAATATTTACAGTGTATATATTATTATACACAGGGGCGGACTGGGACAAAAAATTTGCCCTGGCACTGTAGCCACACCAGGCCACATTACAACACCTACACAGCCCCACCCACAGACATGCACATTCACTACTTATATTGGTGTACAGATGGTGAAATAATATAAGCAGTACCATATGTAATAGATATTTAAACATTTAATGTATGAGACTGGAACAAAAACAACCCATTTATAACTCATTTATAGATACATTAATTTCATTCATTCCTTTTTTTTTGGGCTTAGTTCCTTTATTAATCTGGGGTTGCCACAGCAAAATGAACTGCCAACTTATTAAGCATATGTTTTAGGAAACACCCATACACACATACATTACGGACAATTTAGCTTACCCAATTCACCTATAGTGCATGTCTTTGGACTTGTGGGGGAAACTCACACCAACACGGGGAGAACATGCAAACTCCACACAGAAATGCCAACTGACCCAGCTAAGGCTCAAACCAGCAACCTTCTTGCTGTGAGGTGATAGCACTACCCACTGCGCCACTGTGTTGCCCCCTTTCGAGAATGTTTCAGTTCATTTTATGCATTTGGCAGCGTCTGATTTTAGAGCCATTTTTATGGCTTTCTCTGAGCTTTACGGCACTGCCTTTTCTTTTTTACGGTCCATCTCTGACAATTAGCTTGTGTCGCATTTACTTTTTGTTTAAATAAAAAATGGTCTGGCCCTTCTGTCCCTGTAGAGACAGGACAATCAACAGCAACTAGAACTGCGTCTTTATTAAGAGGAGACGAGCAGCGAATCCGGATCTCACCATTTCCAGATCAGAAAAGCTCTCGGATAAACAATGTTCCTTAGACACGTAAGTTATTGTTGTCACTCCCTGCGTGCAATGTAATCCACACGTGAGTCCAGCTGCGCTCTCATTAAGCGTGTCACGATCCTCCAAATCCTCGATTCGATTACATTTTCGATTCTAAAGGCACGATTCGATTCGATTTTCGATTATGAATAATTAATTATTGACCAATTAATTATTTGTAGCCTACCGTTTAAACTACCTGACCTGCATGGTCTTTGTTTTACCCATAAACAAATCATACAGTAAATGAATAAAGGCAAAATACACACATAATTACCACCTGTCAATCACTTTTTCTGCGGGGCGCGTGAATAGGCAGTGATCTGTGTCGTTATAATGGCGTCGGTAAAATAGACGCACAACCAACAGGAACCAGCCAACAATATCTGAGATGTTCGCTAAAATGACTAAGTACAAGTGAGTGAAAGATTGAAGCAGTCCTCTGACTGCCTGGACCTGCTGTCTCGAGCGCATGGCTGTGTCTGTGTGGTCACGTGATGTGCATTTTCAGAGGTAGTGAGGAAGGAGGGCTGCTCAGAAATGCTACACGCCACTGTGGATGTCAAATCGTTGTCGTTCTAAAATGCCATTTTAAAAACAAAGACAGTGTAAACAGGGCCTGAGTGTGTACTTTTCGCAAGCGCATTTGCAACGGGGGCGGGCGGAGGATCGCTATGCCGGTGTTGTCTATCGGACGAACCGTACATAATACGTACATAGCAGAGCTTGCAAAACTGTGTTTTTTTTGTCGACAACACGAACGTTGTCAACATAACTCACTGGAAATCCAAAATGCTTACACACCGACGACTTCATTGAAAGAGGAGAGGGTTTAAGTTTTGTCGACGGGTCTCCTGCTTCTGCAGTTTAACAAGCACTTCAACAAGCCTGTTTTTTTTCCGCTTGGCAAGCCAAGCTGACGTGACATGGGGGCGTGGCAGCATCAACGATTCTATTTTTTGATTCGATAATCGAAATTGAGCATACATTTCGATCGATTTCGATTAAAAAATCGAAATCGTGACACCCCTAGCTCTCATAGAGAGAAAATGAAAACAAAACCTTCACTGCAGCAAATTATAAAAGCAACACTGCAAGCTTGTTTTGCCAACACAATGTGGCATCTCACTGCCGTCTACACTGTAACATTAATTCAACTCGATTTAATTCAGTTCAATTGTTTATTGTCATGTGCACAGTAAAGAAACACATTTCCCTGTACAATGAAGTTCTTACTTTGCCGTTCACAGTAAAGGCATACACACAACATACACATCATACAAGACATACACCTAAATACACATATATACACAGAAGTGACTGAAGTATAATTATAAAATGTAAATATATAAATATCTATGAAAGTAAACAATATATATTACTGATTGTGGAGTAATAAAACAGATGTAAACAATGTATAGTGGTTCTTAAATTGTGCTTATTATGCAAAAAGTCCCTAGTGCAATTGGCTCATGTGCAAATAACAGTATATTGAATATTAATGAAGTTGCACAATAGAGCGCGCTAATTGGTTTGAACCGAGCCTTACTCTTGCATTAATGCAGCACACTCTGAGACGTAATACGGTACACACAGGTACAGACGTCCAGTCTACACGCTGGAATACACGCTAAAATCTCATGGCCGTGACGCAGCTTCAAAAATTGGTTTCAAACCGGAAGTACGAATTTGCTTGAAATAACGCAAAAACAACCAATTTTCACTTTTTTTGTGAAATATATGTGTCCTAATAGTGTTTTTAGCAGTGTGGGACACATATACGACTGTCAACAGCTCAAAAAATGTGTTTTGGTGTTTCGTGACCCTTTAAGGCATCTATTCCGTTGGTCAAAATTATTTCTGACAAATGAAGAATGAATATTTTGCATTCGTATATTTCAGAGTATATCATGCTGTGTTCGGGGAGAGGGGGTGGTATTCTGGCACTGGCAAAGAACAGAGCTCATTAAAGATGCAGTAGGTGATCTGCCAAAATGCTATCCGTTTAGCATAAGATCCTTGAAAACAGTCCCTCCCCTGCCATCCAAAGCCATGACATACGTCCCCCTCACTTTTAGAGACAGACCATTTAGAAACAGATGATTAATAATTATATAAACGTAAACTTTTGGATTTCATTCAGCTGCCCCCCCCCCCCCCCCCCCCATTTTTAAAAAGTCTGCTACGCCTCTGGTTAAACTGAATAAATCTACATTATTGATGCTGTAAAAAGACCTTATGAAACTGAAAATAGTCACATCAATCTTTTGCCTGAAGATTTCAGTTGCACTTCTGTGCATATAACCCATTTGAAAAAAAAAACACAATCTACATCAGCTTTGCATGACTAAAATAGGTTTAAAACATATTACCTTTCTAAAAGAAACACTTCAGCCATGATGTCGCCCTTCCTCCAGCATGCAAAAGTAACTCCATTATTGATTCAGGATTTTAAAAATTTGCTTCAGCATTTGATTTTAGCGCTCTCTCTCTGTGAAATATGTCAAAGTAATTTTAAATTAATTATTCAAATAAAGACAAGTTACAGAGTTAATACCAAGGTAGTGCATGACCTGGGGCCTAATGTATCAATGCTGCGTACGCACAAAAGCTTTGCGTACACCAGGTTTCACGCTTGTGTTTGGATTTACTAATTATGAAATGAATATGAGTGTGCATTGATCTACGCCAACTTCATGTCTGGCGTACACACATTTCTTGTGTGTGTGTTTGTTTTATTTCCATTGGAGACTCCTAGAGGCTATTATGTGAAATTGCATACTACAAAGTATTTTAAGCCGTGCAATGGCAGATGTATGGAACGGGATCATCCGCATGTCTAGCAGGTATATAAGGTTTCCAAACTATGCAGTTGACAAGCCAAACATTAAAGCGTAATTTGCAGTGATCGCCGGTTTTCCCAATGTAATCAGAGAGATCTACTGCACGCACATTGCTATAAAGGCGCCATCTAAAGATGATTTTGCATACGTGAATCATAAACATTTCCATTCAGTAAATGTGCAAATAAAATGTGATGCTCAAATGCGCTTAACATAATACACACTTTTATTAATGATTCCTACTTGTCTTCCTTACGATGAAGAGTCAAATCTGATATGTAGTTGAGGAAATAAGAAGAATGAGTTCATCAAACACTGGAGTCGAACCGGGTTCATGATCGATCGTGTCTAAGCATGTTGCCATGCGCTGTACGAGCTACGCCACCACTCACGCCGCTGTTTGCAACTCTCTTTAGTCATGTTGTCTCTGTCAATCAAACGGTGTTGGGCGAGAATCATTCTACTAGCTCATTCCAACGAGTTGTGCTATTTGCACTTAGCCTAAATAGACACTACAAAATGTTACACCTTTACATCGGACCATTTCTTTTTTCATTCACTCACAGTGTGATGTTCAGACCCCACTGCGTTAACTGCGTCAGCTAAACTCTCCCACTCTTTTTTTTTCTTTTGTTATTAATTCTGGAGGACAAACTTGCAATTAACACCGTTTTTCTCCGTTCTACCTCTGATAGGAGTACCTCCTAATCACATTCTGTGAAGTTTCTCTTCTTACTTACTTTTGCCATTGCTTTTTCATTTGGTTTTGCCAAAGTGGGGTCATTACCATATTTATTAGGGGGAGGAGGCAGGGAGGGGTTTTGCACTCGTGCACGTGCGCTCATTTTCACGTTAATTCGGATGTACAAAGAGAATATGTGGGGGATTCATACAGTGTTTCATACAGCTGAATTTTTTCACATCACATTTACAGCTTTGTGTGTTGGCAATGTTTTAGTATAAATGCAACGCAAGTCTTTGTACATGAAGCCCCTGGTAAATATCAACAACGACTAATGCATTAAGCAGCTGTAAGCAGCTGTTTTAGTCACTATAAATGTCTTTCTGAAACTGATTTTTATGATAAAAGCAGCCTTGAATTCAAATTCATGAAGAAATAGAAATCATGTTTGTTGCTCACTCACTGTTAGCTCTAAGCCTCTGGGCCCTATGCACTCTGTCATCCATTCTCCCCATCACCTTGTCGATCAAAAAGACTCCTGGTGAAGGGTCAAATGCACGGTTTTAGCCTTAGGCACTCACTGAAACAACCTGTAATTACCCAAAACATTTTAGAAAGAACATTGCAATGCCCATCACCCATGCAGACAGCCTGTAAAAAAACACCCCAAAAAATTTCCACTTCATTCATTCCAAATATCCAATTAAACACTCATACAGAAGGAAAAACACTCTCTTCATTGAAGAAGTAGTATATAAATTTCTGTCGCCTTTCGTCAGGTTATCATTAAAGCTTGCTGGCCTGATTCAGCATGTAGATTCGCCATCAGGCTTCAGTTAAAGAGAGCACTCTGATTGGTTATTTAGCAATAAATCAAAGTGTGAGAACAAAAACTTGACAAAGTAGTGATGTAGCAAGTAAACTATTCAAGTCAAATAAAACAAAGAAGCCGGCTGTAATTTCACGTTTTTACATTTGTCAAATATATGCAAACGATATGAGTTCTTAAATTATCAGACATATTTGGACGAGCGAATCTCATCATGTTTGCTGACAAGTACTGGGATACTAAATGCTGCTTTGTTTACTCTGTATGTGCATGTCTGAAGTTCAATTTCCTTTTATTGTATGAGAAAATAGATTTCTGCCACTCGCGAGTGTCAAAAGACAAATCCTCTCATGCAGGCGCAGAACGCACACCTTTGAATCAGTCAGCTGATGTCCGTTTGGTGTGTTCCAAGGCAGCTTTTTGGTCCAGACTAGACAAAACGCAAACCAATGCTAGTTGAGAACTCAGCTGTTTTTTTTCGGTGCAAGTTTTTAGCGTTGACTTGGTGAGCCCCAGCATTAAAAGGGTTGTTTTCAACCAGATTTCTTGCTCAAAATAATCTGCTGGATCCAATCCAATCAGGAATCAAAAGTGGCCATTCCATTGAAACTGCATTACTTTCATTTACTGAAGCCCTGTGGATTGCCAAAACAGGTTCCCAATCATCAAATCTTCTTCTAATGAACCTGTCTACTGCCTTTTGACACATTAGATGATGCATGGATTCTCCTATACACTCTCTCCTCAATGGCATTACTCAATAGTCTTAACTTAGTAGTCTTACCTCATGGGTAGATCTTCTTGGGTTGCGTGCAGAAAAGAGGTGTTCCTCAAGGATCAGTTCTCAGACCCCTTCTCTTTTCAGTTTACACCACATTGATGGGACCTGTTGTCCGATCACATGCTTTTTCTTATCACTGTTATGTTAATGACACACAGTGTCTACTTTCCATTTAAGTCTTGTGATCAAATAGTAGCTGCATGAATCTCACAATGCTTAGAAAATACCTTAGCATGGTTGAAAGATCATCACCTACAGCTTTATCTGGCAAAAACAGAGCTTCCCTGCAACTCCAGCTGTACAACATCATTTCACCATCCAGCTGGGATTTTCAACTATTATTCAGTCAGGAATCTTGGGGTGATCTTTGATGATTAGATGTCTTTCAAGGATGCCACTACGAACAAAGCACAGTCATGGAGGTTTGCACAACATCAGAAAGATCAGATACTTCATCGTTGATCATGCTGCACAAATTCTGCACATTTTCTAGGCTGGACTACTGTAACTGTCTTCTGGCTACACATCACATCTCCCCTCATCTCCATGTACTGGCTACCAGTCAAAGCTTGCATCAAGTTTTATTCATTGATGACAACTTACAAAAAAAGCCACCAGTTCTGCACAATCTTAGCCTCACTTGCCTCTTCAAGTCTACACAACCTCCATGATACCATCTCATGATGCAAGATTATCAGAGACTCTAAATCACTTTTCACTCACTGTTCCCACACAAACTACTCAGATTCGCTGGTAACATTCAAACTAAAGACTCATCTTTTCTGCAGGCACTTGACTTTAAAAGAAATCCCCTTTCTCTCTTATTTTTTCTAAACACAAGTAGGGCTTCTTGTGTGCATTGCCTCTATATAATGAGTAACTTAATGTCTTTCACAATTTATACGTCGCTTTGGATAAAGCACCTGCTAAATGTCTGAATGTAATGTTAATTTAGCAACCGTTTAAACAGTAGCAACAAACCAACAGTAGCATTGTGATAGTAAGTGCATGGCTTACTTTTTTTCCACCCATAAAATTCAGAATTGATTTTAAAATCCTTCTTTTCACATATAAAGCTTTGCACAATTCTGCACCGGTTCATGACAGTGAGCTTATTAGGCCATATATAGCTTGTAGACCATTAAGGTCCCATGATCAGTTTCTTTTGTCGATCCCTCGGTCTTGCTGCAAATCAAAAGGTGATCGAGCTTTCTGTGTTGATGCCCCAAGGCTCTGGAACAGCCTTCTGTTGAACATCAGGATTTCTTCATCCTTGAATACTTTTAAATCTAACTTAAAGGCTTATTTTTACTCCTCTGCCATTGAGTAACTCATACATGTAATTTCTTATCTGCATTTTAGTTTTACATATATACAGTTTAAGTCAGAATTATTAGCCCCCCTGAATTATTAGACCCAGTTTATTTTTTTTTTCCCAATATCTGTTTAACGGAGAGAAGATTTTTTTTTTTTTACATGTTTCTAAACATAAAAGTTATAATAACTCATCTCTAATAACTTATTTAATTTATCTTTGCCATGATGACAGTACATAATATTTTACTAGATGTTTTTCAAGGCGCTTTTATACAGCTTAAAGTGACATTTAAAGGCTTAAGGTTAATTAGGTTAATGCGATGGTTTGTTCTGTAGACTGTCGAAACAAAATTATCTTAAAGAGGCTAATAATTTTGTCCTTAAAATGGTGTTTAAAAAAATAAGAACTGCTTTTATTCTAGCTGAAATAACACAAATAAGACTTTCTCCAGAAGAAAAAATATTATCAGACATGCTGTGAAAATTTTCTTGCTCTGTTAAACATAATTTGGGAAATATTTAAAAAATCAAAAAATAAATAAATAAATCAAAGGTGGGCTAATAATTCTGACTTCACCTGTACATATATAATTAATTGTCTTACATTTTAATACAAGTTTTATTTGGTTTTATTAAATATTTTATTTCATTGTAAAGCACTTTGGATCAACTACGATTGTATAAAATTGTGCTCTATAAATAAAGTTTGCCTTGCCTTGCCTTTCTGATTTTTTTATTATTATTTAGAGCAGCTTATGTTAGCAAAAGCACTCTTTTTGTAATTGTAGCTATTGTAAATTTCTTGTTGTAGAATACTACAAATTTTAATTTGTCTTGTAAAATGCTATAGTATTTTACTGTATTTTATAGTACTATAAAATACCTTTCTCATTGTTTTTATGCTTCATTTCAGATTTTCAGAGAACATCCACTTACCCTGAATTATGAGCATTTAAACACTAGTGTTGAGGACCCCTGGCACTCTATTGTCAGCTATCAGAAAATCTTCGATAATGCTACAGGCAATGTGTCTGTCGTGAGGACTGTTGAACATCAAGCATATCCCAACACTGCCCTTCTGTCTATGTGTCTCATGTTCGGCTGTTTCTCCATTGCATACTACCTACGCATGTTCAAGAATGGAAAATTCCTGCCAGGAAAGGTAAACATGAAATATATCATCCAAATAAAAACTAATATGTAGCAAAATTACAATTGCTAAATTAAGGAAATAGGTTCTTAAATATTACAACCTAAAAGAGAAATTGACTGTTTAAAGCAGTCTTTGAGTCTCTTAAATTACAGTTCTTAATAAATGTTTACATTTTATTTTAACAAGATTGATTCTGACTTTCATTATTTAACTAGTGATCAAAACATTTCCATTATGTATGTGAAGAGCTTGAACAAAGCTTAAATCCAAGGTCTCCACTGACTTCCTATAGATTTTTAATCAAAGCCTGTAAACTGATACAGTACTTGTGTGAAAGACTTTTCATATAGATTTATCATCAGTTTATCATAGTTTTGAATGTTTGTTCTCAGTATGGTGCTGCAAATGTGTTAAAAAAAGAGCCAACTTTTAAGCAAGGAAAAAATAAGAACTTCACTGCCCAAACTAGGGCCCTCTGGGCCAAAATTGGCCAATGGTAAACTTTGATTTGGCCCTCCATACCATCTGAGAAGATAGGAAGAATGATGGGAAGGTTAAAGTCAATGCCTTCAACAGAGCTCATCATTTCTAATTTTAACGTAACCCTTTGTTTAATTGTTGAGATACGAAAAAGCTAATCAAAATCTAAAAAAAATGAATGTTGTGCAATAAATGGATTTTAAAAACTAAGGATCCTCACCGAGCAAATCAAGTGTATTCAATGTATACAGCATTATAAATGGAATTGTTTGTTTTTATTGTAAGTTCCTTATAAAATGTAATATATATATATATATATATATAAACAGTTGAAGTCAGAATTATTAGCCCCCTTGAATTATTAGCTGCCATGTTAACTTTTTCCCCAATTTCAGTTTAACCAAGAGAAGATTTGTGTACACATTTCTAAACATAATAGTTTTAATAACTCATTTCTATTAATTTAATTATTTTATCTTTGCCAAGGTGACGGTACATACTATTTTACTAGATATTTTTCAAGACACTAGTATTCAGCTTAAAGTGACATTTAAAGGCTTAACTGGGTTGATTAGGTTAGCTATTCAGGTTAGGATAATTAGGCAAGTTATGGTATAAGGATGGTTTGTTCTGTAGACTATCAAGAAAAAAATCATAGCTTAAAGGGACTAATAATTTTGACCTTAAAATGGTTTTAAAAAAATGCAATCTGTCTTTATTCTAGCTAAAATAAAACAAATAAGACTTACTCCAGAAAAAAAAATATTATCAGACATACTGTGAAAAAAAGTGTGCTTTGTTAAACATAATTTGGGAAATATTTAAAAAATAAAGAAAATTTTAAAAGGGGGCTAATAATTCTGACTTCAACTGTATATATGAATAATAATACGATTAAAGTATTTTTTAAAGTAAATTCATTTTTAAATTTTAATAAATTACCATATAACAGTTTGGTTTATTTAACTTAGGTCCACCACCCTCAATCAAGTTTGGTTTTTGGCCCTTTATAAAAAAAAAGTTGCCCACCCCTGACCTTGAGGATATCTTGGTTGCAGTTCACTTAATGGCCACCAGTGTCTCTAATAAAAGAAAGGTTTCTAAATTTTACAGTACATATAGTATTCCTTTAATCATCAAATAACATGACAGAATTTTTTTAAGTAAGTTTCAAGTAAGTAAGTTTTAAGTAAGTTCAGAAATTGTATTTTTAAATGACTTATTGCAACACTATGCACCAAAACATATAGCATCATGAAAGTTGTAACACTTATTCAATGAGTAGACCTCATTAATTTAAAGATATGTTTGATGCATAGATTCGACGTTTGCTTGGTGACTTTGGAGTTCCCATTGCAATTTTCCTCATGGCTGCCATTGATATCAACATTGAGGATACATACACTCAGGTATGTCTGTAACTTAATATTTGTATTTGTATGTATTACATTTATTCACTTTAATTAAAACCTAAAAATGAAACATACATTAATTTTTTAGTTTTAAGCTTTTACTTTAGGTTAATTTAGGTTGCTGATTGGTTGCATTTATAGATGACACCAATTCAGATACAATTCTGTTACTGTCTTGACCTCTTTGACCTTTGACTTGTGTCACAGAAACTGGTGGTGCCTAAAGGTCTTCAGGTGTCCAACCCTAGCATGCGGGGCTGGTTAATCAACCCATTTGGTGAGCATAAGAGTTTCCCCGTGTGGATGATGTTCGCCTCTATTGTCCCAGCTATCTTGGTCTTCATCCTCATTTTCCTTGAGTCTCAGATCACCACGTGAGTGATGTTTTCTAGGGGAAAATGGTTTGGTAGAAATCCTCTTCCCCATTAACTCTCCTGCAGATTTTATTTTCTCAAAGAGAATGTGCCGCACACACTTTAAAAATAAAAATTATATATTATTTTAACATATTATTTGAATTGTTTTATATGCTCATTTATAACCAGAGGAATTACCCTAAATCAAAAAGGTTGGGTTTGAACATATTTAAAGGGCCATGAAACCCCCTCGTTTCAGCAGGGTGTTTTCACACCTCTACTTTGGAAAAAGTCAGAAAAGTGGGCGTGTCCAGCTCTGTTTAGGGGGGAGTGTCGGAGGAAGAAAAGTGGGATGGTGTGGGAGTGTCTATTTGGGCACGCGCGAGTTTCAGAGTCAAAATACACACACACACACACATACAGGAGAGTGATGGTGTTTAACCTACATGGACATCTGTAGTCGAATTATTTGCCAAATTATTAAATGGTGGACTTTAACTGCAGTTTGGCTCTTTCATTCAGGGAATTCATTCATGCCCCTCGCAATAAACGAGATATTTGATTGGAGGAACTGCTCTAAGCGTTTATTTTCATGCAATGTTTGATACCGCACGGCGAATGAGAGAAAAAAAAACTCCGCATTTCCCAGAAACTTAGATGCACACAACAGGTAGTGTCAGAAAGCCGTGTGTGTTATTCCGGTCACTAAATGCGGTAAAAACCCTACACGAGGTTAAAGTTTGGTTGTGGTGCTAATATGTTTACACTCTGTGCAATAGTTTGTTAGATACGAACAAACTGAATAAACAAAAGCACTGGTCGCTCACTTACCAAATCTGTAGAGACAGGACAATCACCAGCAACTAGAGCCGCGTCTTTATGAAGAGAAGACTACAAACGAATCCAGATCTCAGCGTTTGCAGATGAGAACAGCTCTCAGGTAAACAATAATCCTCCTTAGACACGTAAGTTATTGTTGTCGCGCGTCGCGTACACTGTTAATCCACACGTGATCCAGATAAGCTCTCACAGAGAGAAAATGAAAACGAAACTTAACTGCAGCAAACTATAAAAGCAACACTTCACGCTTGTTTTGCCAAAACAACGTGGCGTCTCTGTCCTGAAAACACGGTGAAAGTAATGAATATTAATGAAGTTGCACAATAGAGCGCGCTGATTGGTTTGAACCAAGCCTTACTCATGCATTAATGCATCACACTGTAAGACGCAATAAGACTCACTCTGGCACAGACGCCCAGTCTGCACGCTGGAATACAACGCTATTATGTCATGACCGTGACGCAGCTTCAAAAATTAGTTTCAAACCGTAAGTACGAATTTGCTTGAAATAACGCAAAAGCAACCAATTTACACTTTTTAGTGAAATATAGGTGTCTTAATAGTGTTTTTAGCAGTGTGGGACACATATACGACTGCCAACAGCTCAAAAAATGTGTTTTGGTGTTTCGTGACCCTTTAAACAGCCGAGAATTGCTCTCTTTCTCTCTCTCTCTCTCACACACACACACACAGTAACTTAATGTAACTTCAGTTGTCAAAATCTTTTCATGAATTGAGTAGATTTCTTATACAGATTTCTCAATATTTTCAACTGAAGTGGTAGAGAGGTTTATGTTAGTTAGAAAGATTGAATGAAATCAAATGAAAGTTTGCTCGTGAGTTGCTAAGTTATAATTATACGCATCAAATTGGGCAGACAGAAATGTATTCAGAGTTGCATTTTGTGGTTTTAATCTATAAGAAATCAAAGGCAGAAATTAATTTCAACTTGTGCATGAACAGATGATGGTTTGACGTTTATTGGCATCCTTTCAGTCCAATAAAATGCAATAAAATAGTAAGACTGCGGGAAGTGCTTAAAGTTGTGGCTACATTTATAAAGAACAATACCAAAGCTAAGTGTAATTATTTTAATAAATTATTATGTTGCAAGCATGGTGTGATGACCTACATGTCTAAGTATCATTCTGTCGGTTCGCTTTCTGTTAGTTCGCTTTATTTACAACAAAGATTAAAAAAAAAGAATATTAAAATTACCCAAATGATATTTACAAATATGTACAATACATGCGAAATGAAGTAAACAAATTAAAGGTGCAGTAGGTGATTGTCTTCAGAAGCATTTTTTGTTGTGCTGGTTGAAAGTCTCTTCACAGTCTAATAGTAATGATTACAGTAAATGATCTAAATGTGTTTATATGTATTTTTATATTTTGGGTAAGGCAAAAAAAAAAAATGTTCATCCAATTTAATATAGTCAGGCCGATATCTCTCATAATTCCAATAAGTAGCTCAAACTGTCTGTCAGCAAATGCAGATTTGAACAACTGCGCAGCCGTTTGTACGCAGCTCTGCGGACCACTGCATGTTCACGAGAGAGAGCATGTGCGCGTGATCGGTAAAAACATGCTGAATCGAAACTTTTTAAAAACCTGAATCAATATGGGACGTACCTTTGCACGCTGGAGAAAGGATGACACCATGTCTGAAGGATTTCGTTTAGATGGGTAATGTTCTGTTTTAAAACTGTTTTAGCTTCACGCAAAGCTGATGTAGCATTAGATGTTGTTATAAATGGGTTATATCTTCACAGAAGCGTTGTTCAGCTACTAAAATCTTTCGATGAAAGATTGATAAGACTAATTTCAGTTTCATAAGGGATCTTTTACAGCATCTATAATGTAGATTTTAATTAGTTTAACAACAAAACACAAGTAAATACCGCTATTCAGCCTAGTCTCTACCTATATCGTTTACCAATTCAAATATTTGCTCTGAAATAGCATGTCAGTTTGGCTTGTTCGCCGCCAGACAAGCACTCGTCGCTATTAACACATGAGAGAGGGTTCTTTTGCTGTGCTCGTGTTTCAGGAGGCGTGGCTCTAGACAACAGGGGAGGGACTGTGATTCAGAGATTAATGCTAAGCTGTTAGCACTGAGGAAGATCACCTACTGCACCTTTAATTGAATTACATTGTATTACATTTTTGCAAAACTCTTTACTTCTTTTTTTAATACACATAAGTCAAAGATACTTTATTCATTGAACTAAGATCACCGTTTCAATATAACACAATTAAGCATCAAATTGATTTCATTTAAAAATGCAACTCAAACATTACATTTGAAATAAATGTGTGTTTGTTTACTTAACTTGGATGTTATTATCAACTGATACAAGCACTCAGAATTACTCTTGATGCGTAGAAACTCACTGCAGTTACTACAGAAGGTGACCAACTGGACTATAGATTTCATCTTTATTCGTCCTTATTCTATATTTATAGTTTCTTTGTTCCATGAACCTCATTTACAGACAATGTTTTCATATTTGACATTACTGTACTGTAAATAAGAAAGCCCAATCACAGCAGACCAATGTCAGCCCTGGATTCACATTGATAGAAGGTTCTTTCCAAGATTTTTGACTAATGAAAACACCACTGTGATGTGGAGAAGAACCTGTGATTAAACCCACAGGACCAGATTGATGGAAACACAGATACCAAAATAGAAATCTGATATATAGAAGTATATGCAATTTACACATGTGACATAATAGTTCATATGAATTTTACATATTGTTACGCCCCGGCCAGTATAGGGTTGGTGGGAACAATGACAAGTGTAAATATATAACTTAAACAGTCAATGTAGGGTTTTCCCCTTCTCCTGTCCCAACTCACAATGATCACAACGTTTAAAGTAGTTTCAAGGTGTACTATTTCTTAGACAACAAAGATACAAGATGCATCTCTTCGGGAGGGAATCCAGGCCAAAATAATAAACAAAAGTCAGCTAACTTGCAGGGAAATAATTCTAACTTACCTGCTCAAATTAAAAGTACCCCAAATAAAATTACAGCAAACTTTCCTTTCTCCCTCACTGCCACAAACCAGGAAAAAACGTTATAAAGTAAATTGCGATTTCCAACCTACCTATATATACCTTATATATATATATATATACTTTATATATATATATATATATATATATATATATATATATATATATATATATATATATATATATATATATATATATATAACAAATAATTAATATGTTCTATAACGTAATCACATATATACAATATGTCATACATATCAAAATATTGCCATTTTTTCAACTATTAGAATTACAAATATGTACATATATGTTACGTAAATATATGATCTATTATGTTAATTATTTTACCCCTACAGATATATTACCTATAATTTGTATAGGTGTCCATATGGCTGTATATGAACACACACACACACACACACACACATATATATATGTATACACATATGTATGATATGGTTGAAAAAATGTAAACAATGATTTTTGCACTATTTTGACAAATTATTGACTATTATGACATTTTGTTTACTGTATGTGAAATCCAATTGTAATTTGCTTATGTTGCCATATATCATGCCATATATCCGCTTTCATGAGCAAGTGCAGTGAGAAAAAATGACAGTAAACCTACATTATGATGGAATGAATAAAACTAGTTCAGTGTATCCACTGTCTGTACTGTTCCCTCTACACTTATGTATAAACCATAATGAAACCAGTATCATATATTTTAAACAACAATATTTAATGGCTGTTAAAGATTGTTTATTAAAAATGATAATAATAATAATAATAATAATAATTCGTTACATTTATATAGCGCTTTTCTGGGCACTCAAAGCGCTTTACACAATGGGGGGGGGGGGAATCTCCTCATCCACCACCAGTGTGCAGCATCCACCTGGATGACGCGACGGCAGCCATTTTGTGCCAGACCGCACACCACACACCAGCTGATTGGTGGAGAGGAGACAGAGTGATGATATGCCAATCATGATATGGGGAGGGTTAGGAGGCCATGATGGACAGAGGCCAGTGGGCAGATTTGGCCAGGATGCCGGGGTTAAACCCCTACTCTTTTTCAAAGGACATCCTGGGATTTTTAACGACCACAGAGAGTCGGGACCTCGGTTTAACGTCTCATCCGAAAGCAGCACTGAGCAGTATAGAGTCCCCGTCACTATACTGGGGCATTAGGACCCACACAGACCGCAGGTTGGGCGCCCCCTGCTGGCCTCACTAACACCACTTGTGCAATGATGTGCATCTTGTGAGCTGGTGATCTAAGGTTGTGTTCCTGTAGTATTTGTATGATAAAAGGATTATGTGAACCAATCCTGCAAATGCAAGAGTTCCTTAAGGTAATGAACGCAGCATGCAGAGTTTTGAACACCGAAGAGCATGTGTTAAAAATAGTGAATGTTTAGAGTTTTTGATGTCAGGGTTCTGACATTTGTGGCCAAACAATTATAAAAACTCTAATGATCTTTTATGGATCATTAGTGTCTGTGTTTTGTTCAGATTGGTCTATAATTGGATTTTACCCTCATCAATTTACATGAGAGTGAAGTGTTTGAGGCATTTCCATCGTATTATTCAGCTATATATATATCCAGATTTTCTTTCAGTTGGAACCTTTAAAAATGTTAAACTGTTCAGTGAAAAAGTTCTTTGGGAAAAACTAAATGTTACAGCGTTACTAAACACCCCTATTAGCAACACATTTACTGTTGTTCTGCAAAATTTCACACAAACAATTTACAGTTATTTTAATGCCCTGGAATTCATGCAGAGGCCAAATGACACTAATTTCAGTTCTGAAAATAAACCATGGCATTCATCAAAATGACATGGAAGTAAGGTCGTGTAATTTTACAAATGTGGCCACACCTTTAGACTGCAGCATGACAAACAATTTGACAAACAGTTCTGTGGAACAGAAAATAGGTGGTTATGTTAGTGGTACAAACAAAGTCAATTTAGAAATAAATGATTCCACCAAACCTTTCTGTAGATCTAAAGAAATCCTCATGCCAATTCATTTAAAAAATAATCTATTACTTGTATCTTGTGTTTTCAAGGCTAATTGTAAGTAAACCAGAGAGAAAAATGGTCAAGGGTTCTGGCTTCCACATGGATCTTCTCATCCTGGTGAGCATGGGGGGTCTGAGTGCCTTTTTTGGCATTCCTTGGTTGAGTGCCGCCACTGTACGATCTGTATCTCATGCCAACGCTCTGACGGTCATGAGTAAGGGCCCAAAACCTGAGATCGAGAAAGTTCTGGAACAGAGAGTCAGTGGTGTAGTGGTGGCTTTGCTTGTTGGTATGTTGACATATATCTAACATTCACCTTTTTCCTACTTCCTAAAGGCTCATCATTAACATCTTCTCACTGGCATTATTGTTTGCAGGTCTTTCTATTCTCATGGAGCCCATTTTGAAAATGATTCCCATTACAGCTCTGTTTGGAATCTTCCTCTACATGGGAATCACATCACTGAGTGGTATTCAGCTTTGGGATCGAATGCTGCTTCTTCTTATTCCCAAAAAGTATCACCCTAATGAACCCTATGCTACAAGAGTATGTGAAGAACTTCTCACATATTCCATTAGAATAGTTGATATTTTTCCTTGGTTTGCACATTTGATGGTGGTCACTGTCTCCCTCTGCAGGTCAGCACCAGTAAGATGCACGTGTTCACTGCCATTCAAATGGTGTGTTTGGCAGTCCTCTGGATAGTGAAATCAAGCCCAGCGTCTCTGGCTCTACCATTCGTCCTCATACTCACCATCCCTCTGCGCATGTTCATGACCGGACGACTTTTCACAGAGCAAGATATGAAGTTTGTAAGTGAAACATTAACAGACAATTATTATTACAAGTTGAGGAAATAATCAGCATTTTTATTTCAGGTGAACTATTCATTTAAAGGGGACCTTTTATGCAAAAAACACATTTATACGGTGTTTAAACAAAGTTGTGTGGCACCAGTGTGTGAATATAGCCAGCCTCTTATGGTAAAAAAAAAAAAAAAAAAAATGTATATTCACACTTGATAAAAACAGTCTGGAGAAACATTTTGATTCACATATTCCCACTGTTCATGTACATGGGAAAGCCCAGCCCATTAATGACAATATCTCCTTCATTAATATAAACAGCCCTCAGTAAGAAGCAATCGTCCGCCATTAGACTTTTCACACTGTACCTACTGAAGATAATGTCAGAGACTAAGAGCCCTATCATACACCGGGCGCAAGGCGAGGCACAATTGTTGTTTGCTAGTTTCAGCTCAGCGCAAGAGTCGTTTTGACGTTTTGCGCCGCGCTGTTTAAATAGCAAATGCATTTGCGCTCATATGTGCGCCCATAGGCGTTCTGGTCAAAAAAAGGAGGTGTGTTAAGGCGCATCTCTGGCATGTTGCTATTTTGAGAAACTATAATAGACTGTTCTATAGACCAGAACAAGGCCGGTCTAAAGTCCAGCGCAGAGCACGTTAGTTGTGTGCCTCGCTTAAACATTGCTTAATACAGACAGGATGTACAGCAATACGCAAATATATTTACATATGAAAAATAATTAAAATATTAAGTATATATTTATATATGTATATAAAAATAATTTATGCGAAATTCTGTCGTATGGCGCTGCGAATAGGGGCGGGATTAAACAAGCTTATTAGACATTTAAAAAAGTGAGGTAATGCTCCGTGTTTTAAATTTCTGTCCACAGAGGTCATGTTTTGATCCTGGATTGGTCTCACGCAGTCAAGTGATGCGCTTTCCCAGGTCAGAGTTCACCAAGCTTGAACTTTGCACCGCAGCGACCTGTGTGCCCCCAGTGTGACTGCAGCTTTACTCGAGACCTCCAATATCCTCTGAGATAGTTAAAAATATAGAAACCTTACACACCGGCGCACACATACCAATAGGCCCAAGTCTACTCATCATTTAATTTCGAAGAACGCCACTCGGAGACCGTCCTCCATGTTTAGTTCTGGCCTATAATTAGTTTTGATATACTTGAGTGCGGTAAAGGTGTTAGAACATTTAACCTGGTGCCATAAAATCAATATACTGTGTCTTTAATAGAACATAATCACCTGAGGGGTCGCATTTTAATTAACTACAATAACTATTAACTACTATTTTTTTCTTCTGTGGGTTATGGATAAAATATGGTAATTCTAATACTTTAATAAAATGAATTAGATTTTTGGAATTCACCAACCGACCTCCACTCATTGTCCCACGACCCCCTGGGGGTCCTGACCCCCACTTTGAGAACCACTGCTCTCTAGAGACATCAGAGATGCATTTTACATCTTGTAAAAAGGTGCATAAAAGGTCCTCTTCAACATGTCTTGTTTTCTAATCTACATTGTGTCTTCATAATAGCTTGACGGTGATGATTCCAAGGCAACATTTGAAGAGGAGCCAGGAGTGGATGTGTATTCTGAAACTCAGATGCCACTGTAATCAACTTGTCTACAACCAAACCCATTGTTGGCAATCAACAGAATTCGAGAACAGGCAACATATGAAGGATTTGACAATATATCATCACCTTGGAATTATAAGGTTCTATCTGCGTTCTGAATGATATTCAGATATTGAGCTTTAAAGTTTTTGCATTCCATATAGCAAACAATATGTGTGTAACAGTTCTCTTTCATACATTAACATGACAGAGACCCTAAATTTACTCTACATGTAAATTATCAAAGTTCTCTTACATTTGCAAATTGGAGTAAAAAAAAACATGGTAAATGCAGAACCTTCTCATTCTGAAAAGTTACTTTCTGCTTGGAATTATAAGGTTGTATCAGGCAGATCATTCATTGAAGCATTGCTTTTCAAGAAATACAAAAAAAAAAAAAAAAAAAAAAAAAAATATATATATATATATATATACATGTATATATATATGTATGTATATATATATATATATATATATATATATATATATATATATATATATACATACATATATATATACATACATATATACATATATATATATATATATATATATATATTATAATTTAGTGATGATGCTTGAGAAAGTTACATTTTTGCTTTCTAAAACATTTATTTCATGTTTTAGGATGAATATTTTTTTCTTGTTTGAATTAAGCATACAAGGCTGAGCTCAATATTTTGTAAAGTGCAGATGTTAATTTTATCTAATTAATATGTTTATTATTGATATTATAAAATTGTTATGCTTTATATAAATTATTAAAGTATATTTATTGAATTATATGCCCCGTGGATTAAATTAAGTATTTGGCCTTCAAAGCTTAATATTAAAGACTTTAAAAGAAAACAGACAATAATCAAATGAGTTTAATAAATACTGAAACATGTTTCACTTATCATATATACACAAATAAAAAAAAATCACATTTAATATAGAAATGTTTTAATATTCATTTCTATTTTAAACAATGTGAAATTTAACATTTCATCTCAATGTCAAAAAACACTTCTAAATCATCACATTTACACACATCTTAATATTGTGTGGTGCAGCGATATTCAGTCGACTCTGACTGTGATTTTTGTCTTTCTGGTCTTTCCCGCTGTCAATGGAGCAGTCTGGCGAATTAACAAAGAAAGCTAATCCTGATTGGTCCTCGTGCGTGTATTAAAAATGCTGATTGGCTCCAAGAAAGAACCTTATAGAGCCAAGCTAGTGGTCAACTTTGTAGATAAACAGTTTTTGTTTTTTAAATAAAAAGTCCTAGAATGTAAATAACTTTAAAAAAAAAAAACATTCCATAATGTAAATAATTTGTCATTTAATAAGAATATGTGAATAACTCAATTTTGACAAAAATGTCGGCTACAACCTTATAATTCTAAGGTGATGATATTGCCCAACTTTAATGCCTTATTGCAGCAAAGACAAACTTCTCTGGGTTTTCTGTATGTAAAATGTAATAATAATGGTCCATTACAGTTCTTACTTAGAAGCACCGTTTATAACTTTTGCACTAATCTATTGTATTATGAAGGTTTTTTAAGTGCACTTTTGCAGTAATGCCATAGTTTTAAGTTCCTCATATAACAGTTCTTAAAAGAACAATTTTTTATTGGTGTGAAATACATTTGAGTAACAGAAGAACCTTTTTTCACTGTAAAGAACCTTTTTTTCGCAATATAAAGGTCCTACAGATAGTAAAGGTTTTTTTATGGGACCAAAGATGTCAATCAAAATTCGTATTCCTTATTTTTAAACTTTATTTTACATCATAAAATCTATGTACAAACAATTTCTTCTTGTTTGAGGAGTATATTTGGCATTAAACCCGAAGGACTTATTTTTTGAAGTATGCATATATTTTGTGCTGATCAAATAAATTGATAAAAATTTATAAAAGTGTTTTTTTTTACTTTTTTTGTTGGCTGTTTTATGTCAAGTGTTTTAACATGGAAATGTACATAAAACATAAAAGAAAACACAAAAAGTTGTATTGACAAAATGTTCATAAATTAATTAAATTCTAAAGACAAAATTTGTCTACTGTAAAACCCAACAGTCAACTTTATCAAATGAAATGAGAGTAATTCTACACTGTAAACGATTTCTTGTTAAATTAACAGTAAGTTACTGGCAACAATTATCCAGTAGCTGCTGTATTTCATAAAACAGTAACATTACTGTAATACTAATTACTTTAGTATTAGATTTACTGTAAAATGTAATACATCATTTTACTGTTTTCTTTTTATACTGTAACACCAATTACAGTAGTAATACACATACTGCAAAACTGAAAACAGTATTTTACTGTACATTTTTACCATGCAGAACTACGGTATTTTAACGTTACTTTCATTATTACTGTATAGTATTTTACAGTTATTAAATGTTATTTTATTGTATTTAACAGTGCTACTTTATAATGAGCAAAAAAATTTCAAAAATTGCACAAATGTTATTTTAATTGTTCAAGAAATACAAGAAAAATAAAGAATCTGAAACTTTAACTTCACAATAAAAGTTTATTGTGTAAACCCTACTGAAACAGTAGCAATTATTCAATATAACACAGCAACAGAACACTAATGAAAAATTGATCAGTAAAACCAGTCAACAATTAATGCATCAAAAAGCATTACAATTTTAAAAACAGATGAAAATACTGCTACAAGACACGAAATGATGAAGGCCAAATGATGTTGTGGAAAAGGGACAGTGAAAAAGGGCAGGAGCACTTCTGATGATCCTGCAAAAACGACAAGCAAAATCAATCACTGGAGTAAAAACTAATCATGCCTCAAATTATTTCATTCATTCAGAAACCAAACACCGCACTGCTGTTTTATATATATAAAACACTGTTTTTTATCGTTTTTGTTGGCAAAATACAGATTTTTGTCTATTTACAATTACACTAACGTTAATGGGGAAAAGATCAGTCAAGTCAACACTAGTCAAGTGTCCATACAGGTATGTAAAAAATAAAGTCTCATCATAACTTAATGTCTGACTCTGTATAGCTTGAATATCTGATTCCATGACCACACTAGCGCTTCCACGGATTTAAGAGGGGTAAAAACAGTTAATTCTGACCTTAAGAGGCTACATATTAAAAAATAAATAAATAAATAAAATAATTAATTTAACGTGACTAATGTTAATCAAGTACTTTTAGGCTTTTAACATGTGAAAATCTACTTTTAACTTACAGACAAGATTACGTTAGAGAACATGAAAGCCGTGGGTGATTTAAAAAAAAAAATAATGCTAATGATGAGTTACTGACATTTGGTTCGCATAAAACAAAGTAATCACTAAGCATTAATTTTTGGCAAAATCTGCCGAGAGGTGCAGCGACACGATCAAATGTGTTAAAGTTGAGCAAAGAAATGAAGAGTAGTCAAGCAGTCTATTACATGAAATGTTTGTGATAATATTTTGCGGTCAATTCGTATTACTGTATTTTAATATGCAGTGATGGCATGTCAGTGAGACAAATAAATATTATTACACCTCTCCAGTGACATTTCCTCAAATTAAATCATCATAACGTTACTGTGCACAGCATCAGTAAAATGTTAAGAATAATTTAAATACCAAATTTTAAAACAGTCACTGCTGATTACAAACTAACATTAAAGAAGGATTACAGAAATCCTTAATGCATGATAATATGAAGATTTATTACTCACTGATGTCGAAGCACTTCGTCAGAGATGTAGACAGGACAGAATATGTGCCATCAAATGAGCTCTTGTGCAGTCTTTGTTGGACATCAAGGTAGTATGTTCACCCACACTGTAAAAAAAAAAATCTGTTATTTTACATGTTTTTTCCCAGAAGCTAGGGTAATAGAGTCATTTGGTTAAGTGGTTTAAAATAATTTTATTTATTAAATACTTGCTTACCCATATATAGATGTAAAAGTAACCAAAATAAATTATTATTATTAAAACGTGTGGGATACTAAGCATGTTTGGTCTACAGAGAGAAGTAAACATTTACTTTAAGCATTGATCCTAATGAATCTATTTCTGAACTACATCCAACCTCTCCTCTGAAACAGCATTTTTGAGCATTTAGATCAGGGGTGCTCAACCCTGTTCCTGGAGATCTACCTTTCCGCAGAGCTCACCTGCAACCTTGATCAAGAACACCTGTCTTTATTTACCAAGTGCTCCTTCAGATACTATTTAGTTTGTTTAGTTGCGTTTGATCAGGGTTGGAGCTAAACTCTGCAGAAAGGTTGATCTCCAGGAACAGGGTTGAGCACCAATGTTTAAGACAATAAAAAATAAGACATCTAGATGATATTATATATTCAATCATTTGTGAAATTTAAATGACTTATATTCAGTATATACATAACATAAAATTAGAATAAGAATAAAAAAATAATACTCTATGCCAAATAAAATACTTCAGATCTAAATAAAGCAGGTGTTTTTACCTAAAGGTTCCTTTCCTCCAGTTAGTTTATTTGCAGATCCCTCCACATCTGTGCTTTATTTGGTTCTTGACTTAAGAGTAACTGGTGTCACATTCCAGGTCCATCACAATCTGAGCTAGAAAGACAATATGGCAAAAGACAAGACACATATAAATAAGTCTCAGAATAAAATATTTAAAAGGATAGTTTACTATGCTGCCACCATTACTTCATGTGTTTTAAATCCATTTAAATGTCTGTTGAACACTAAAGCAGATATTTTGAAAAATGTTAGAAACCAGAAACTATTGACATCCATATTTGAACCAAATTTCTTTAAAAAATGGAACAAAAAAAAAATCGAACTATTTTGAAACAAGTGGAGGATGCCAAAGATGCCATTATTTTCATTTTTGGGTGAACTGTCCCTTCAATTCAAGTGTCACGCATTACTCATAAAAACTGATGTATCGCTTGAGGAAAACTAAATCAAGTACCTCCTGTGAGCAAGCAGAATCATTATGCCATTGTATTCAGCCAACTGACCCAGCCGAGGCTCGAACCAGCAACCTTCTTGCTGTGAGGTGACAGCACTACCTACTGTGCCACTGCGTCGCTACTGGAAGAAGAAAAAGAGGTTGTACATGAAACTCCTCACAACAAATCTGTGAACAACTTGACATTTCAAAATCTAATAAAAATAAGGAAGACATCAACATTACCTTGAATAATCAAGTGAGGAGAGATTGGTAGCATCAGTTTTTCAGCATCAATTGCTGTAGTTGCAAAAAAGATAAATATAATAAGAGTAAAATGAGACTTAACATTTAATAATCTAAATCT